AAAAAAAAAAAAAATCAAGGTGATTGCAAAAATCATTTTTATTAATTTCTTTCCGCGAGTGCTTTTTTTCCCCACAATTATCGTATTTTTCTCTACAAAAATATTAATATAATAAATCATCATTAAAGTAATAATTGAAAAATATTTAAAAATAAAACATAAGAAAAGCAAAAAATAATTATTATTAATTTTTCAGCGAAAATTTATAAAAATTATTATATTAATTATTATTAATATTATTAATTATTAATATTATTATTAATTATTAATTAAGGGTTGTTTTTTTAAATGCCTAATAAATATATATTTTTATAGAAAAAAATATTTCAAAAGAATATCAAATTAGAACGTGAACATCACGAGTTGGCAAATAATTTATTGTCAATTTTTGTTAGTTTTCATTAGATGCGAATTATGAGAGAGGATTCAAGATTTTTTTATCTTTTGAGAAAAAAAAAACAAATAGAAAAGTGCCAAGACAGTTTATTACCCCCTGTAGGTGAACGAATGATTCGAGAATATTGAACTCAATGGGTATATGTTATATTTAGCAAAGAACTCTAGTCTAGTCATCGACACTGGTTATATATATATATATATATATATATATATATTTAAAATTAGGAAAAGAAAGAGAGAAAGAATCAAAGTTCAAAATTTAGATAATCCATATATATGTATATTATTTTTTACATATGATTCATTCAGAAAAAAAATCAGAATGAATATAAGAAAAAAACATTTTAAGATAAAATTTAAGCGAATTAAATTTTATTTAAATTAACGAAAAAAAATTTATATTTCATATATAAAATAGAAAAATTAATAAAATAAATAAATACATAAATAATAATAATTACAATAATAATAATTATAATAAAAATGCAAATAATATTAATTATTATTCATAATTTGCAAACCAAACTTATAATTAATTAATTATAATAATATATAATTAATATATATATTTATATATTATATATTTATATATATAAATTTTTATATTTTTTTTGTATTTATATATAATTAATAATATATATATATTATATATATAATTAATTATTTTGAATCCTGTCTTGCTTAAAAAAAAATTAAATAAAATACTCGAAATAGTAGATCTTAATTATCTTTTTTAAATAAGTAATAAAATAATGTTTATATTTTAAAAAAATGTTTCTAAATACTTATCTACTAAAACTTGATAAATATTAACGTATATAATTAAATTAATATTAAAAAAGAAAATTTTAACGAGACCAAAAAAAAATGGAAAATTAAAATGATTTTTTTCTAAATAAAAAAAAAAATGATTCATACAGTGACACCTGGTGGTGAATTTGTTTTAGTTAAAATCATAAAAAACTAGAATCTACTTTACCCGCATGAAGATTAAGAATAATCACCTACTACATTCTAAAAATGCAGATTCTTTCTTTTTATCAAAAAAAAAAAAAGTTTTCTCAATACTGATAATTATTTAAAAGTAAATCTAAATTTCAATAAATGATTACACTAATAATATTGCATTATTATATATTATTATTATTATTATTATTATAATTATTATTAATATAATTATTATTATAATTATTATAATTATTTTATCAATGATAAATTATTAATTAACAATTATTAATATAATGAATTCAAATAATATTCAAATATCGATATTATTTGCTAATATAAAACAAGAGAAATTAAAATTTTTCCCAATAATAAATATAATAAATTTACTACGAATTTTTTTAGTAAAATAATTAAAAAAAAAAGGATTCATAATTCTATATACGTAAATTATATAAGATTCTTTAAGGAGAAGCAGGTCAGCAGTTGTGAAACTACAACTGGTATTTTCAAGCAAATTCTTTTTTATCATTAATCACTAATTCCGAAGTAAATAAAAACAGATTCATAACGAGAAAAAGAGAGAGAGAGAGAGAGAGAGAGAGAGAGAGAGAGAGAGAGAGAGAGAGAGAGAGAGAGAGAGAGAGAGAGAGAGAGAGAGAGAGAGAGAGAGAGAGAGAGAGAGAGAGAGAGAGAGAGAGAGAGAGAGAGAGAGAACATCAATTAATCAACAAATAAATTATTTTTATAAAAGAAAATTGTTTAGCAGAGACAATAATTATTTTATTTTACCCGCGGTAAAATAATTAAACTCTATAAATTTATAAGAATAAAAAATTTCAATGAACTTTGGAATCCATATCTTTACAATCATTAGATTGAAAATTATTTTTACAATGACAATATTGTTTTTAGCAAAAAAATTAAATTATTATTATTTGATTAAGAATAAAATAATAATATTGATATTCTGTACAAATTTTTCAAAGTTAAAATTATTCAAGTCTAATTTAATCTTGGAAAAAAAATAATTAATTAAACATTTCAATATAAATTCCTATTTTAATATCATGTCGTATCAATACAGTTAAAATGATAACTATATAAGTCAAGATTGTTTTTACAGCTTAGTAAAGTTTCTTGTTTATCTAAAACGACCGTTACATCACAACTATTAAATAAATCTCATTGTAACGAATTGCAGTTACAAGTTATATCATTAATTGCCATTAAGTATTGAAACCAACTACTTTGAAATGAAGGTCACGAAATTATATCTCGAAAGAAGTATACATATATAATTTTTAATATGCAATTTCGTTTATAACGAGAAAAAAAATTCCTTTTTAAAAAAAAGTATTTCAAAAAAAAAAAAAAAAAAATGCAAAATTTACATAAAATATGCAAAAGATAAATAATAATTTGGATAAATGATATTAGCTAAAAAAAATTGCGACCAGACGTAAAAAAAAAAATTATAATCAAAATTTTTTTGAGAAAAAAGGGTTGAAAAAATTCAGTTGAAAAAGTGGTGACCCACTTTACAACGCCCTCCTTGTCCTAGAAACAGACAATCGATAATCTGGCATAGTTTAACTACATATATATATTAATTGGAACATTTGTATTATTGACAGGACAATAATAAATAAAAATTTGTTTTAACCAAAAAAAATATTCCGAAAGAAAAAAAAAATTTTCACCTACAAGAAAAATGGAATGCAAATAAAAATTGCATATCCAAAATTGTTAAGATAAAGATTATTTAAATATTTCTTTCTTTTTTTTAAAAAAAAAGGAGCGTGGGAGTCAATGCCCGGTGAATGACAACATGCGGGGAACACACCCAACCTTCTAATACACGGCGTTAATGCCTTCCGGGAACCTTGGACAATCAGATAATGCACGTAGAATGACCTCGGTAACGAATTTGTTTAGTTCCAATTAATGCAATGAGGGGTTTATAAAATCAAATTGCATTTTATCCCAATTTATAAACACCACTTTACATTTATCAAATATCAAAATTGTTTTCTTTTTTGTATTTATAAATGAAAGAATAGATTTTTTTTTTTTAATGTTCAACTCACCTGCCAATGGGAAAAGATAGACCGTAAAATAATTCCTTGACTGCAACCACGAAAACTCAATGATTCTTTTAAGCCGCAACACTAGCGGCGTGTTCTTTTTGTCATAAAACACTACACATCACGATTGACATTCACAAAAACTGGATAATTATGATGATTTTGAAGTAAACAATATCATGTAAGCGCTTGAGAATCCTAAAAATCCGTGAAATTGACGAAGTGGCGCAATACCTCCATCTTGTCTGTTTTTCTCGGGTTGGGATTGACCTTAGAATATCTAAATCATAGATAAAATGTCAGTTATAAATTTTTAAACTATTTTAATATTGAAGTTTGTCGCTAGGTGGCAGCACACAACGGTCGACAGGGTTGGCAACTTGACTGCAATGAACACTTAAGGGTCTATTCACAACCCAGATGTAGTGCATAAATTAGGGTAGAAGATCTGTAATCAAACGCTTTTACGATTTTCAAAAAAAGGAAAATTAATAAAAAAACGTAAATTAATAAAAAAAAATGAATAAATACTTATCTTTCAAAACATTGGCGTTTTTCTTAAATTTTAATCACTAAACGAACTTCAATTAACACTGGAAAATTCTTCACTGACGGAATATTAAAAAAACACGATGCTTTTGAAAATTGAAAACGTTTTTTTTTTGGCAAAAAAAAAAGGTTTTTTGGTTTTTATCAAAACTCACCGGTCGTTAACTTCATCCTCCTGATGTTTTGCAAAGGCTCATCTAATTTTCATCCTAGACATGCTGTTTCCTCAGTACCCAAATACACACACAGACAGGTTATTTTCACTTTTCACGAATTAAATTTAAAGCACACTACCGAAATTAATTGGATTTCCATAGCGAATAAATTAAGACGCGATTGATCTTAAACGACACGCACCACGAGGCAGGTCTAATGCCCGGTTTCACATTGTTCACTATTGACATTTTATCGACTTGTATGATTTAATTTCACTAAGAAAGTTGAAAATTGAATTATAAAAACAACCTTGGGAGGGAATTTTTTTTATTATTACTAGTAATTAATATGAAAAGGGATTGAAAATCATTTGTCGTAAATGCACGAGGGACACTTGCACACACCCACGCGAACACTGTTGTAAACCGATGCAATGTTGCCAATTTTCGCGCATTAAATTTACACAAATGAAGTTCAATTACCATTTAACTTTAATAATTGAAAATATTAGCTATTAATTTAACAAAATATTTAAAAAAAATTAAAATTCATTCGATCGTAGCGCTACACTTTTTAGAAATAGAATTTTACATGAAAATTGGTGACGGCAACAGGGTGGGGAAACATGTCCACAGTAAACTGTGCGCAAGCGTGGAATACGATATCTAATTGGCCGAAATGTGCGCGCTGATTTAAAATATGTTCATTTTAAAATCTTTAACATTAAACAAATTTAAATTAATAAACTTATCAATAGCAAAGGCATTAAATTTATCTAAATAAAAAATTTCTAATATTTATATTTTTTTTTCTTATTAAAAATAAGCGCAATAAAAATCACAAATTAGTTTTGAGGTTATGTTCTAAAAGCAGACGACTTATTTGTAAAACAACAACAAAAAGAAGTGTGTTGCTTTTAATTTCTTTTCCTTTTTTTTCCTAATTTCTGTAAATAGTTTTTAAACAAAAGTATAGTTAATTAAAAACGCAGAATATTTTTGTTTTACATTAATTGTTTTCAAAACAAAATAAAATATAAACAATTATCTTAAAATTAGTTCAACAATTTACGCGCCAAATTAATCATTATGAATTCTGAGAGTGAAAATGAATTATTAAATGATATTAATATTGATAATACTGAGGAAAATGCTTTAGAATTAGAGGAAATTGATTCAGCACCACATGTTGAAGAGGAACTTCGAGAAAAACTAGTACAATTGCCCTTGGGAAGAATTAAACACATCGTTAAAATGGATCCTGAAGTTAATCTTGTGAATCAAGAAGCTATTTTTTTAATTACTAAATCAACAGTAAGATTTTATTTATACTATTGAAAACAAGTAACAAAAAAAAAACAAATCTCAAACATTTTGCATTTTAAAAAGTTTAATTGTTTTTTATAGGAACTGTTTATAGAATCACTTGCAAGAGAAGCTTATAAATATACATCTCAATCAAAAAAGAAGACAGTACAAAAACATGATATTCAAAGTGCCATTGACAATGTTGACGCTCTTGTTTTCTTAGAGGGAGCAATGTAAGATGTTATTATTTAAAATTATTATATTTTTTCTATTTACATTATTCTAATATTATTAAATAAATAAATAAAACATCAATATCTCTGCACAAAATTTATTATTAGAATATTATTATGAACATTGCTCATTGTTTGAGTGACAGAATGAGAAGAAAATCAGTCTTAATCCTTGCCTGTCAATTTATCTAACTTGAGCAGCCGAAAAAAAATGCTCTCTTTGTTTTTTATACACAAAAAAGAAAATGTTATGAAATTTTCTTTAACAATAAACACTAGTAACACATTTTTTTTTTTTTTTTAAATATATGTATATATTATTATTATTATTAAAAACAAATTAGTAATTCACGACGATAAAAATTATCGCTAACACCTATAAATCAAATTGTGTTAAAAGAAACGTAAAAATTATTAATAAATCCAAAAAATCGCAATATTTGCATATTTCTTTTATTCATTTAGAGCAGGACTTACTGAATTTTCTTTTAACGTCAATTGACATAGTATTAAAAATAATGAAGAATTCTTTCTTTTTCTTTTTTTTTTTTTTATTTTGTTGCACGAGAAATAGTTTATAACCATTCATAGAAATATATCTCAATCGATATATGCAATAAAATATAAAACTCGTCTAAGCAAAAAAGAAAAAAAAAATTATATTAATTTATCGAGAAAAAAAAATTATCATTTACAAAAGTATTTTGTATCACCATTTTATAAAAATAATATTTTTTTTTCAAAAATGTCTCAACAGAAAGCAATTGCTCTTTTTGAAATTGATATCGATTATACAAATTATCTCTTAAATTATTATTATTATTATTATTATTATTATTATTATTATTATTATTACTGCTATTACTATTATTATGTAGTATATTTGAATTTATGCCTGGTTGTCATTTGATGCAAACTTGAGGGCGTTTTTTTTTTTTTTTTAAAAAAAAGCAATTGAACACAAAAAAAAGCTCTTTCTCTTTAAAATTACTCGACGTTACAAACGTCCTTTTTTTAAACGATTACCTTCAAATAAGATTAATCTTATCACTCAAAGAAAGAGTTAGTACATATTGACAGACCTTAATACAAGAGTATCATTTGTTAAAAATTAAAAAAAAAAAAAAAAGTTTTTGTAAAACATTAATCACTTTTTTTTTTTTTTTTAGTAAAACTTTTTTTACTTCTTACGCTTGGTTTTACGTTTTCTATTGTCGCCTTTGTTCTGCTCGGCTGAATTGGAGCCACCTGCTTTACTGTGATTACAAAGATTGTTGATGAAATCCTCAAAATCCGCCTCACTAAAGAAGAAAAAATAATTAGTAAAAATTCCCTTTTTTTTTTTTTTTTTTTTTTTTGATAAAGAATTTATTACCTTGTATTATTATCCGTTTGTTGTCGTTTTTTACCACCGGCGGGTGATTGTGTCGGTAATCGTTGTCCTAAAACAATTCTGTATTGAACGCTATGTGTATTTGCTCTAAGATGCTTTAAATTTCCAGCTTGACACGCAGCCCAATCGGTTACATCATAAACTGCTCCCTCCATACAAGCATAGTAATGCCATAAAAAGCCCATTACGCGAGATTCTGCCCAAATGTCACCCTAAAGAAAAAAATAATAATAATAATAATAATAATAATTACAATTATTAAATTAGAATTTGTTTTTCTAAATTTATAATTACTTCTTTCGCGCTATGACGAATTTTGCACTGTGCACAAAATCGAGCCGCATAACAAGGACGTTGAGTTGGAATTCTTTTATGTCGTAAACCACAATTTGTACATCTTATTGTATTTGCAGCTTGCTCCATTTTTCTATGCAATTGCGATAATAAGTCACTCAATTCGCCCCAAGCGGCCTCCACTTGTCTTGTTTGATCAAACGCTTGTCTTAATTCCTGTAAAGAATTTCCAAAAATTTATTCAAAAGTAATTAATTTTATTAAAAATTAAGTAATATAACAAAATTGGGGAAAAAAAAAATTCATACCGGTTCGCCAATTAAGTCAAAGGCATGGACGAGAATTTTAAAAGCCTCTTCAGCGCCTGGCTGATTATTTTTATCAGGATGAACAAGAAATGCTTGTCGTTTATAATACTTTTTAATATCATCATCAGAACATGTTGGCGTTACTCCAAGTATACTGTAAGGATCTTTTCCTTTACATGCAAGTAATCGTTTCATTGCCTCTTCACCTGTACTTGGTAATGCAATATTTGCCTCTAAACCACCATGAATCCATCCAGCTGGTGTTTCATCTTTCTCTTCATTTTTTGTTCGTAATTTACGCCAAAATGCAAATTTACTACCACCCAACCAACTATCCATTTGTTTACCAAAAGCATTTAAAAATCGTATTTTTGAAAATGAAGTCGCCAAGTACATCCATGAGTATTTTAAATAAAGAATTGTATGAAACCATCCACATTTTCCACTGAAAAAATAGAAAACAATTTTTATTATTAATAAAAGACTCCAATTATTTCTCTATAAAAAAAAAAAGGGAAAATAATACTCACAGCTGAATAACAAGATTTGCACTCATACTAAAAACATCGGAAATCAAATGAAAGAGCCAATAAAAAATTTTGAGAATTATTTTACTCCAACGTAATAAATATTTATTTAAATTACGATAAACATCTTTAAGCGCTGATTCACGATTTTCACGTTTACGGCTACGTTGTCCTTTTCTTATTTGTTGTGCTTTTTCAGCTTGGAAGCGTTTTGAATTTTTATCCTTACAATTTTTTTTATCATCTTTACCAATTTTATTATTTGCCTGTTGATTTTTTTCAATTTTATCCGCCGATATTGTTTGACTGAAACTATTTATTGTATTTAAATTATTATTTATTTGTATTGGCTTTTTTTGAACATTATTACCACTTGTTTTTGTATTACAATTTTGAATTTTTGTATTATTTAATGTTTCATTTTTTTCCATTTTTTTTGTTGTTTTAATAGGACGTTTTTTCTCATTAAAATTATCAGATTTATTAAATGTATTTAATTCAGTTTCAATTGGTGAACCAAGATTATCAAGTGATACCCATCGTCTTGATAAATTAGAATTTTTATTTTCAAGAATTTTTTTTGGTCCTTGAACTTTAGGGGAATTATGATCATCGCTACCAGATGAATTTTGTCTTTTTAAAATAGCTGGTTTTGATTTTGTTTTTTTACTAATTGGTTTTTTAACAGTTTGCTCTTGTTTTGGCTTTATTGATGGCGCTGTTTGTGGTGACGATGGTGTTGGCGCTGATTTTGTTAATACATCAGAATATGATGGACGCATTGGTTTAACTTCAGCAATTGCACGCGGTTTTTTTTGATAAGTTTCAGGTGCAGCACGTGGTAATTCATCGTTATCTTTAATTTCAGTTATTGTTGTTGATTTTGGTACTGGAAATACATTTGGTGAACCACCAAATGGACTATATGTACCCGATTGATTTGGTACCCAATTACCAACAAGATTATCAATTAATTGTTTTGAATTATTTGAATTTTGTTGTGTTAAATTTGTTGTTACTTGTTGATTTCCAAAGAGGCCATATTCACGATCAATTAAACTTTGATTATTAAATGAATTTAAATTATTCAATTGACATTGTTCGGCCATTATTTGTGATGCATTACCATAAATAACATTAATAAAATTACCACCTCCAACATCAATTGTTCCAATAAGATCATTATTTTCATTTATTCCTAAATGATTAACTGTTTGTGGTGGAAAATAAATTTGTTCTGGAATTGGTGAATCGTATGTCGATGTATCGGGATGCATATAAACTGGTGTTGTCATTGAATTTAATGATTGAATATTTGATGTATTTGGATGAGCAGTTGGTCCTGGTATATAACGTTGTATTCTATTTGGATTATAATCCGACCAATTATGGGACGTTGATTGTTGGGACGGCATTCCAAATTGAACATAATGTCCAGCAGAATTTTCCAAATCTGCCGTTACTACCTCAATTATTTGATCTAACGACATGCGTTCAAATTCTGATTGCTTTTGTTCTGTCATTTTTTTTTTTTTTTTTTATATTTACACCGGATTAAATACCTACAAAAAATAAAAATTGTCATAAAAAATACGAAATACAAAATCAACAATAAATGACCTTTCTTGTACACATGTTTTGAAATTTTCTCTATTTTTGTGAAATTTCATTAAATATTTCTTAAATACAAATTAAAAACACTCCAATAATAAAAAATCGAATGTTTTGAAAAACACAAAATATGAATGTTGCAACATTTCTATGTATGTGTGGGTGGACCTAAATTTTGTAAAATAATCTTCCAAGGAAATAAAATGTTAAAAAAAAATCCATATGTTTATTTTATGGTAATAAAAAGAAAAAACAATTCTTGTAAAATGAATGAAAATTTGTAATTTTTTTACGAGATTAGGTAATGAATCTAATTTTCGCTCGTAACCTAAAAAAAAGGGAACGAATATAGGGACAGTAGATATATATATATCTAATTTTTCTCAAATCAAAAAAAAAAAAATGATACGAATTATAAATTTGACTTACCTTTATTATCAGATATCCGGTATTATCAAAACAGATATTGCATTTTTTAGAATGATGATCACATTAAGCAATGATACACAATTTGTGAGATAAACCACGCGGTATGTGCAAAATCTCCATTTCGATATGTCCACTTCTCGTTGATTCTCGTACTCTCTCTCTCTCTCTCTTTCTTTCTCGTTGTTGTTCGTCGACAAGATGTGTATATATATAATTCAAGTCACAACACGTTCACTGTATACTTATATATGCCTTCAACTTTATTGCAATTATCATAAAATCTAGGAGAGCTCTAATGTCCCTCTCTCTCAATCTTTCTCTCTTTAAAAAGACTTGTTTATATTTAATCGTTCAAGGACAAAAGAAAAACAGCTTTTATAATGTATAAACAATATACTGTTTTCTTTTTTCCCTTCTATTTTTTCTTTGTTCTCGTTTTATTGATACTCACAGTCACGAAAACAGATTTCTAATCCTCAAAATTAACAGAAAATGTATATAATTAAAATTGTACTGAATTGCATTTTTATTAATTTTGCAAATGTTTTTTTTTTTAGTTGCAATTTTTGGGATGAAAAAATAAACTGGACAATTTTTTTTATTAAAGGGATTTTCACAGGAATGTCACTTATCAGGTTAGCCAACATTTGTATTTGAAAAAATTTCTTTAATTTATGTTTTTCTAAATTTTAAAATAAAATTTCTTTTAGTTAATTTTTGCAGGAGAAAAAAAACATTAATAAAAATGAAATTAATTATTAATAATAGATTTTTTTAAGAAATGTCACATTATGTCACATTCACACTTGGCAATTTTTGTCCAGTACTTTTCTCTTGTAAACCAACTTCAAGTCGAATCTGTTTTAAATTCATCTGACATTTTTGTTTTAAAACACGTGTTTTTGTGTTTGTTTAATATTTTTTAAATAATAATGACTAAAAAATCATTAAAAAGAAAAAGAGAAGCTAGGGAGGATGTTGACACGCAAAAAGAAAATGAAGAATTACCACCTGCGAAGCGAATGTCTGATGAACCTACTCCGAAAAAGGTATGTTTCTAACCTATAAAAAATTTCGCAATGTATTAAATTTATTTAAATTTTAAATGAATATAAATTTTACTAATAAATATATATTTTTTTAAAATAAATATCAAAATTTTTTTTTTTGCAGACAAAGTGGATAAATAGACAACGTGTTTTAGTACTTGCTTCTCGAGGAATTGGCTTTAGACATCGACATTTAATGGATGATATTAAAAAATTAATGCCACACCATCGTACAGAATCGAAAATGGAAAGAACAAAAAATTTACAAGTTATTAATGAAATGTGTGCAATGAAAAATTGCAATAAAACAATTCTTTTCGAAGGTCGTCAAAAGAAGGATTTATATATGTGGATTTCAAATATTCCCGATGGTCCCTGTGCAAAATTTCTCGTTGAAAATAGTAAGTTTAAAAAAAAAAGAAAATTAATTAAAAAAATAATAGAAAACATTTCCTTTTTAAAAAAGAAAACTAATTTCTATTTTAATATTTTTATTTTAGTTTACACAATGGGTGAATTAAAAATGACTGGGAATTGTTTAAAAGGAACGCGTCCTTTACTTTCCTTTGATGAAAATTTTTCTAAAACAGAATATATTTTGTTAAAAGAACTTTTAACACAAATATTCGGTGTTCCCAATCATCATCCAAAAAGTCAACCATTCTTCGATCATGTTTACACATTTAGTATTCTCGATAATAGAATATGGTTTAGAAATTATCAAATATTAACTGAAGATGGTGCATTAGCTGAAATAGGACCACGTTTAGTTTTAAATCCAGTTAAAATATTTGCCGAAAGTTTTGGTGGTGAAACTATTTGGAATAATCCCCATTATATATCACCGGCAAAGGTAAATTTTGTTCTTCAAAAAAAAAAAAAAAAAAAAAATTAATTTCCCAGACAAATATAATTTATAAATTTAATTTTTCAGTTTCGTCAAGCGTTTAAGAAACGAGCAGCCGGAAAATATGAAAATCGAATTGAACAAAAAATGATTCAAAAGGCAAATAAAATGGAAAAAACTTATGCACTTAATCCAATGGATGAAATTTTCAAAGGTGATATATTGTCTAAAGCAACGGAAATTGAAGAGAATGAAGAAAAACAAGGAGAAGTAAAAGCAAAGATTATTAAGAAAATAAAAAAATCTAAAAAATCCAGGTAAATGAATAGATTTTTGTAATATAAAGACCACTTTTTTTTAATAATAATAAAAATCAAGTTACAATATAATCGCTGGTGTAAATTTAATTATCGCTTATTCAAAAAAAAATATATTTTTTAAAAAAGGCAAGGTCTAAAATTCTTTTTTTTTTAATTGAGAAAATCTATTTTTGCATTTTTTAATTATTTCCATAAAATAATTATTCTTCTATTTAATTACTATTTTAATTTTAGACCTAGCTTTTAAAAAAATACACATGACAAAATCACAATAAAGATTTTACATAATAATAAACATACAATTTAAATATAAAATTTCAATTAGAGAAATGAAATATTATAAAGTAAATATTTAAACTGCAAAATATAAGGCAGTACAGGGCTTATAATTAATTTTTTTTTATATATATATTCGTCAAAAGTGGTTATATATAAAGGCAAAAATGCTCTCAGTGCTTGTGTAAACACACAATTTCAAATGTGTATAATAGTATAAAAATTAATCGTCTTGCGATATATATATATATATTTTTTTTTGTAAATAGTATTTAAAAAATAAACGCATTTTACAATATAAATAACTTCTTTAAAAAGTAGTTTTTAAAAGAAGTTCAAAAATTAACTTTTGATTTCTTCAATAACTATTTTAATTTTTTTTTTTTTTTTCGTGATTTTTGTGCAAAGTGTTTCGTGCAATCACATCCATCAAAAAGCACCATCAATTATGTTTTATTTTTTTAATGATTAAAATTCACTTTCATTTAAAAAATATTCACAATCAATGTTGAGAAAAATACATTATATAAAAGTGCTGATTATTAATTATTTTTGTACGTTATACAAGCCTCTGCTTGACTGTAACTTTACTTTTAGTTTCAATTTCGTATACAATTTGATTAAAAAAATACCTTCTCTTTCTCACAAGGCAAAATTGGTAAAAATTAAACACAGATATAATTAATTAATTAAAAAAAAGGAATTATACCGTAAAAATTAATTAAAATACTTACATTACTAAATTAATGATTTTCTGAGATGAGATCAAAAATGTTTACAAAATTTAATTTTTTACAGAAATTATTCTGTCAATTAAAATGATCTTAATAAATATCTAAATGAAATGAATTTTACAAATAATGTAAAATGAAAGAATTATTTTCAAAAAATTCTCAATGCAAATTTAAAGAAAAAAAATAAAAATGGAAAACTCACCTTGGAAGCAACATAGGAAAAAGATAATATAAAATACTCGAGAAACTATAATACTTATTGATTCATTGGAGCTAACTCGTGTGATTGTTGACCATTTGTATTTGTACTTTGTCCAAGTTGAGCCAAACCAGATTCTCGCCATTTTCCATTTTCTCCATTCAAATTTTTATCTTCACAAATGCAAAGATAGAGCGTATCGATGATTGTCTAAAAGAATTTTTTTTATTTTTTTTAAATTAAATTTTTATCACAATGTAATTAAAATTGAAAAATTAATTAAAAACCTCATAAAGTGAAATGACGCAATGTGCGATGAAAAAGGCAAACACGCAGATGACAAATACCGGTGCGGCATAAAAATAGAGACGCGAATTGTACTTGAGGAAAATTAAACCAATACTTCCAGTAGCTGCAGTCACGAAACATTTTCCCAGGAAAAGAATAAAATCTCCCACGCTATTAATAACTGCTATTTGAACCGCATTGCTGACAATTGTTGCGAAAGCCTGTTTTTTAAAAAAAAGAAAAATTAGAAACAAAATTATTAATCAAAAAAAAAATAAATAAATGACTTACCACTCTTGCAGATTTGCAAAAATTTGTCCCCTCTATTGCCACCACTGTATAAGCATTGTGATTCATAAAACGAATAAATTTCTCCAAACAGTAAAAACAGCAAATACAACACTTTAAACCACATTGTGCGCACGGTGAAGTTTCTTTCGTTTTTTCAAACCTGAAAATTTTATTATTTTTATAAGAAAAGAAGCTAAAATTTCTGTAAAAAAAAATAATAGAAAACTCACTTTTGATGCAAAAAGGTGAGAATTAAACGTGGCAATTTAAAAAGAGTAATCAGAAACGATCCACAAGCAACGGAACCCAAATGATAGCAGAATAATGTTCCCAATGATGAACAAACTGGCGAGCGACTCGCATCTTTACCTCTGTAATTAAAAAAATAATTGTTAAATTTAAAAAAAAAATTGCCATTTTGAAAAAAACTTACCTAAAATACCAGTGGGCAACAGCTCCAGAAATTACCATATTTTGACAAGCGCTAATAAATTCCGATGTCCAAATCAAACCAATAATATAAACCCACCACATATATTTCACCCATGTTGAATCCACATATTCAACAAGTGTAAAAGCTAAAAAAAAAAAATAACAATGGAAATTTAATTCAATTTTCACTTTCAATAAAATAATTGCATTAATTAAAAATAAATTACTTTTGAAATTATCAAGCGAAAGATGATCCTGAACTTTGTGATCCTTTAGAAAATTTCTTCCTTCAAGTGCCGAGTCATTAAGTGTCACTGAATCAAATATTAGATTTCTATATTTTTGCACCGGTTTTGTACCTGGATAATCTGAAAATATTTTCAATTATTATTATTTTTTTAATTTAGTTTAAATTGAAAAAAATGATAGAAAAAAAAAATGGAGATTTATAATTACTGGCAGTTGCGAGGGAAAGAATAACCGCCACCCAGTAGACAAAAAATAATAATAGTGCCACAAATGTTAAGAGAGGTGTGAAAAATAATCCGGGAAGTTCAGCTAAACATTTGGCACTTTCTCTAAAAAGTGTCGTCATTAATCCAATGTGTTTTCGTAGAGTTATGAGCAAAAAGAACAGAACTACCTGAAAAATTAATTCATTTATCAAATGAAATAATAAATTTAAAAAAAAATTCAATAACTATAATAAATAATTCAATAATTTAAAAAAAAAAAATAATGAAAATTACAGTTATAATTGTGGCAATTATAGAGAAGGCTAAAAATGCTTTTTCATTTCGAACTGATTCCTCTAGAAGTTGAGTATCATCGGTATTATCCAAATTTTTCTTTATATCAAAATAAGTCCACCACAATAATCCAGTGCCGACTGAAATTTAGAATAATAAATTAATAAAATATTTATAAACAATTTTTTAAATGCAAATTTTTTTTTTTTACCAATAGAAGAAACGCTGACAAGAATCATTACAATCCACGTTACAAAACTCGCCAATAAATGGAAAATTGCAATTGTCAATAGAGACAATACTGAAACAAAATGAAAAATAGAAGAATAATTTTTTTTTAAATATATTTTTATGTTTTTTTTTTATTATTTATTACCAAATGCAAGGAATGAGAATGCCAAAATTTCTCTCCACGTTTTATATAAATCTCCCAAAACTTGTTCAATAACATCCCATGAATTTAAAACTCCATATAAATTAGAAACAATTGCTCCTGCTGTTTCTTTAACTGCTTTTGGTATACATCGATTTAAAACTGAGATACTATCATAAACTGGCAATTCAGGACATGAACCAGTTTTATTTTTATTATTACTACTATTGCATGCACTAAAATTACTGCCAGGCCCATCATGACATAATTGTGAACCAGTTTCTTTATAAAATTGACAAACATCATCCATTGTATTTAATTTACGTGTTGGACATTGTTTCACGCAAATTTTCAATGAATTTTTCACATTTGTTACATCCATGAAAAATAGAAATCTATATTGGCAGAAAAAGAAAAAATTTTTTACAATTTACATTTTTGAAAAAAAAAAATAATTGAAAATTTATACTCACGGTTTCTCGCTAGTATCTTGACCAGATAATTCCATATTACCAAATTTGGGATTATTTTTCACTCCGCAGGTGTTTCCAAAACTGTCATAACCATTTATTAACCTTATTGGATTACCATAAACGAAAGCAAATGCAGCGATTAAAATCTAAAAGAAGAATTTTAATATTAAGAAAATATAAAACAAAAACAATTATAAAAAAAAACAAAATGTCAGAAATTGAATAATAGAGAAAAATAAACAATCAATAACAATTAGTCAAAGGTACTCTATTGTTTTAAAAATATTTTAAAGATTATTTTGTAATATTTCTGTCTGGTAATTATAGAATATTAAATTAATTAAGAAATTGTACTTTTTTTTTTATAATTGATTATAATTGATTTTTTATTTTGCGTGTAAAATATGAAAAAAAAAATTGGAGTATAGTAATTTTTTAGGTTATATACCATTAGGAACCAAAATAAAATAAAAAGGATCAGCCAAAATACATCGGTACATCCTCGAATGTGTGTTTGTCCTGATCGTTGTTCCTCATCATCATCACAACCACAACAACTCATTTTTTTAATCAACTAAACACAAAGCCGCTCCAATAAACAATAACCTATATGCGGGGTGTTTTACTCTTGTTTGTACTTGTCGTTCGTATATTTCCGCATACACTCGTGACTATTCGGCACTCCTTTTGTTGGGGGGGAGTTTTTAATTTAAAAAGTTTTTTTTTCCCCTCTGCAAATATAAAAATAATATTGTAATTCTAAATAATTGCAAGACTTAATTTTAATTATGATTCACACATTCTGAGGTTAATTACATATTATTTATATAAAGATAAGAATTTAAAACTATCGATTGACAGGTTATGAAATAATTTTTGAATCGAATTTAACTTTCTGGAAATATTTTTTAATAAATTAATATTATCCAATTAATGGAATTAAAATAATTTTTTTTAGAGGGAAATAAAGAAATAAAAATGATAATTAGAAGTGAAATAGAACTTTTTATTATATGGATTAAATCCACGATAGGATATTTTTAATTCAAGTATATAAAGTAACATTGCTACCCAAGGTTAGCTGTTGTAAGTTAATTACAATAATCAAAATGAAAATAAATATGTATCATAAAAGACAACATTAGTTTTTTTTTTTTTTTTTTCTTTTTTTTCCTTTTTTTTTGATGAACGAGAAGAAATATTTATACAATAACTATATATTATATTGTTATGTATTTAATTTTTGAGTTGATTCATTATTTGATCTAGACATTGTGAGAATTGGTAAATGACGCCATCTAACATCATCCTGATCAGAGGTTGTTGGCGTTGAAAAACCCTCAAGACTTAATTGTAATGCACGTCTTAATTCATCATCCTCTTCGTCTTCATCTTCAACTTCATCAATTAAATGTGTTGCATTATCATTTGTTGCTAAATCTAATCGTAATGCAAGTGGATTTTTAACACTATCCTCATTAACATCCTCTAAACTTAATTGAAGTGCACGTTGTAATTCAGCATCCTCATCGTCATCTTGTTCAGAACCTTCTAATGTTATTACAGGAATAATTCTCTCAATACCTGATGATTTTTCTGTTTCGGATTTTGTGAATTTTTGTAAATTTCGATTATTTGTACCAGATGTCGATGGTACTTTTACTTCGCCAATACCTTCTAATGCGGCTTTTAATAATTTTGCCTCATTATCCAATTTATCAGTTGTTTTGTGATTTTTGGAATTTTCCGAATTTTGCCTCTGTCTAACAGGATGTCTCAATAGATAATCATCTGCCTCACAAGGTGGAAAATTACCAATCACAATGAAAATCGAATATCCTAAATGAGAATTAATTTATTAATATTTATTTTATAAATTTATATAAATTTATTTTTCAATACTGTTTTTTTGTGAAATATTTACCTTCTTGAATCAATTGAGCTAAAAACATTGCCAAATATGTATTTGTTATAAGTTGTGGTCCATTCATTAAAGAATTTAAATTGAACCATTGACTTCCTAATTTTCTAATTGTGAACCAATGATCTCTGTAGTTGCAAATGTACGCTTTCATTTGTCTGTAAATAAAAAAAAAAATGTATTAGTTTCTTTCTCAAACAAAAAAAATATTTTAATAAAAAACTTACGCAGGATCATTTTGTGCCATTAGAGCAGTTGGCTCTGTACTATTGTAGGGAATAAGATCCAAACCCCAAAAATCAACAGCACTACTGATAACTTGCACCGAAAAATATCCACTGTCATCAACATTGCCCGATGGTTGCTGAAATAAAATTTTATAATTATCAAAATCTTATATTACATAAAAATGAAAATTTAATTATCAAAAAAGAAAAACTAAACACCTAAAAAATGTAGGTTATATACCAAAAAAAAACAAAAATTGTTAAAAACACCGTAACCTTCAATTTTTTTTTAGCCCCAACGACTTAAAAACTAGGTCATAGAAATCATTTTACCTCTAAAAATTGTCTATAATCTTCACTGTCGACTCCGGATTCTGCCATTCTTAATCTTTCCTCTTCGTCCATTTGATGAGCCAAATTAGCAAGATCCACTGCATTAAAATACGGTCCTTGTAGAAGTGCATTTAAACAATGTTGAGCGCAAAGATAACCCTCTTGCTATAATCACAAAAGTAGTTTTTTTTTTTTTTCCCCATCAAAACAATATACAATTTCACAATATTAAGTAGAAAAAATAGAAATGATTCATGAATGTACACTAAATGCGTTTTACTTTACCTTCTCGTGAAATATTTTATCCATTTTGGATTATAAACGATAGTAAACACCAAACAAAAAAAAAAACTGTAATTTACTTCCTATTTTTTTTAAAAATATACTGCAATTTACTTTTTTATAAATGTCACTTGCAATCAATCTTTTGTTTTTTTTTTTTTTTAATACACTTTTTTGGGCGCTTACAAATCGCCCCTTATGTTTTATTCACACGCAATCCTTAGGGTAGGTACATAACCTTAAATTTTGTCCACATTGTGAAATTTTATTGGTTACTTTCAATCTCTTGGACGCGTTTCAAAAAAAAAAAAAAAAAAAAAAAATGCCACCCAATTTGGCTAGTTAATAAAAATAAATAAATAAACCCAGCAAAAAATAAAATTTGTTCTATTATTCTAAATTAAACAATTTTCCAAGTAAAATGTAATTTTTAAAAGACAATTTAGAAAGAATGTTTCAAAATTAGCGCCAATTGACAACCAATCAAAAAAAAGTTGCATATCAATTCCGTTACACAAGTTACAAAATGGCGCAAGAGGTATGAGTTGGTGTGTCTAATTTGCTTTCTACTTGATTATTGAAAAAAATTGATAAAATTCAATGGATATTTAATTGGATTAAACTCGTAAGTATTTAATAATATAATCCACGTGATAAAATTTGATAGAAATAATAAAGTTTTTGTGCGGCTAATGTAGAGGATTTTTTTCAACTTCTTCGAGCCAATGCCATTTGCATCTGTTGAAATTAACGGCTTCGAGAAGAATTTCTCACACACGAAGATAACAAAATAAAAGTAACAAAAATTGGATTTTGGATATTTTTGAACGTAATGACGAGCTAACAACAGGACATGCGGTTTTATTTTGTGAAGTAAGTTAACGTTTCTTTTGTTTAAAAAAAAAAAAAAAAAAAACTAACAATGCGTCTATAATGGCGATTAATAATTGTTTGCGAATGCTTTTTTGTTTTTACTTGCACTTTGTTTCAAAATCGTATTTTTTTTTTTTGTTCTACTTTTCACGAAAAGAATTTTAAAAAATTATCTCTAGATCATAATACATATATGCGTAGTTTAAATACACACGTTGCGTTGGGGAGGGGGGAGGGGTGGTATTTAAAACTTGAATTTGTCTTAAAATAATTTTCAAATTAAATTTAATGCAAAATTATATAATCACGATTTCTCTATACAAAAATCTATTTATTACTTCATTTTAACGAAATTATATTTAGTGTTGAAATTAGATTACTAAATATAGATTACATTAAAGATATTTGGGATTTAAAGAACTATTGAAAAATTATCAGTCGCAGGGATTTTTTCTTTCTTAATGGAAAAATTTTATTTTAATTAAATACCTTAAATTTTCCTTATTTCTGATATTCTAATTAATATAAAAAAAATAAAGATCGAAATTTTTTGAAATTAAAAACTTATTTTCACGAACAATTTTTAATTAATATTATCGTAAATTCATCAGTAATTAAATTTCGTTACTTTTCGGTTATTTTCGATTTTGGAGGGTTTTTTTTCTGGCTCGTGCCCCAGCTATATATATATATATATATATATATATATATATATATATATATATTACTTTTATTCATTCGTGAAACGAGTGTGCGTACCTTTCAAAGTCCCCTCTTTGTCCACGATATTGCCCCCTCCAACATCAAGTGTGGGACTGATGATCATCGGACCTTCCCGGCTTCGTTGCCCTTCAGTTCAAATCAAGCCATTCTCATGTTTAGTTCTATATAATCTTTTTTTTTTCTATAAAAAAAATATACTCTATTTTCTATAAATACTTTTCAAAAATAGTGAATACTTTCTCTTTTTGAAAAAATTTGTTTCCCCCTTTTTTTCTACTCCAAAAAAAAAAAATATATGGCTTGCGTGTTTTTTTTTTTTTTTCCTAACAGTATTATATACATTCGCGTTATAAAAGGGAAGCAGTGAACAAGAAAAGGGGAAATCGCGCATGCTCTACGCTCATAATTGTGAATCAATAGTTGGAAACAGAAACAAAAAAGAAATGAGTTAGAAAAAAAAAAAAAAAAAAGTGTTGAGTGAAAGTTGTTGACTTAAATGCGCATGGTTTTTACGATTTTTTTTTGAAATTTTAATTCAATGTGTTGATTATTCAGTTTTTAAATTAAAAAAATAAAGAGAAATACGTGTACAGATAAACGGAGATTTGGTCCACAAAAAAATGATGAGTAGAGAGCAAAGTCTGCATTCCGAGGTTCATTTATCCAGAAGTGTTTATCTCTAACGTTAAAAAAAAAAAAGAAAAAAAAAACACACCATGGATATAGTGTAGTTGCTTTTTTTCTTATTTTTCTCTTTTTCCCGCTCACGGTAGGACGAAGACTACTACGTTTTTGACCTCCGACTATTCTCTTTATCCTGCATTAAATTTTTGGCGGGATTTAAACCTGCGGGAAACGAGAAGAAGAAGAAGAGCAAACGAAAAAGAGAGAGGGACCGTTCTCTTTTAAGGATTCTTTAAGAATGGATTTAATACCGGGCGGTCTGCTCGTACCTGCTAAGATCCAGGATATCAATACCTACCATTCTTCGTTTTATTCGCCACCACCCACTGAAGCGTAAGTCTCTTTTTTTTTTTTTTTCTTACTACTGTCTTTTCCTGTGTGTGCCATTAGCTTTTAGCCATCGCAGGGAGAGAGAGAGAGAGAGGAAAAAAAATGGTAGGAGAACTCAACGTAAAGAGTGAAACAGGTCTATACTTGCTTGGTTTGCTTTTGCTTTGCCTCACGATCATCATCATCACATAGCAAGTACCAGCATTTTTGCAGTGTTGCCAAATGAAGAAATAATTTTATCCACGAGAAAATAATTATTTAACAAAAATTCATAAAAAAATTGATTTTAACAAAATGGTTTGAAATTAATATTCTTTTTTTCTGAAAAATCAAAGAAACAATGAATTTATATACAAGAATCGAGAAAGGTGATTGACCTATTAGCAGGAATTTTTCTGCAAACGATTTTCCTTCTAAGATAAAAAATTCGATTTTTCATAATATTTGCGAAATTTCGATGAAAACAAAGAATTTTTTTTTCCCCAATATTTCAATACTTGTAGAGGGAATTTAAATTTTATAGTATATAGTAAATTGTAAATATTATGTTTTGCGTGAGAATTTTCAATGGTTTTTTCAAATTTTTGTTTATATTTACAATTTCTGTAATCAGTCGTTCAAATAAATTGATAAGTGATTCTTGAAATGTAAATATAAACAATTTTTAAAGTCAATGAACTCTGAATAAAAATAAGCACGTTTTGATGTATACTGTATTGAAAATGAAATGTAAAAATTGTCATAATTTTCAATTTTTACAATAAAATTTTCAAAACTCAGTTTTCAACTTGTTTATTTTTAAATTTTATTACGAAGCTGAAGTACGCAACGTTTTTATGATAAACGATTTTTAAAGAAATAATTTTTTATAATAAAAAATTCTATAATTTTTTGCCTAAAATATATTTTTTTATAATTTGTTGATGAATGAAAAATACAAAAAATATTTTTTACGCAAAAAATTATAGAATTTTTCATTTTAAAAAAATTATTTTTTTAAAAATCGTTTATCATAAACGTTGCGTACTTCAGCTTCGTATTTTATTTCCTTATTAAAATTTCCATTGGTCTGGAATTTACGTTTAAAAAAAAATTTTTTATACTAAAAACAAATTTATTTAATTCAAATAATCGTTTACTTGACTATTATCAATTATTATTTAATAATTATTATTATTTGGAGTCAATTAAATGGTATATTTGTTTCAAATACAGAAATTATTGATTCAAATACAGTTCAATTATTTGGTTTTAAAAATTATTTGATTTAAGTAAATATTTATTTGATAATAGTCAACTACAAGATTATTTGAATAAAATAAATTTTTTTTCAGTGTTTTAAATTTTTTTTTACCACGAAATACTAAAAAAAAAATGTTCTATTCAATTTTATTGAAGCGAATTTTTTTTTTCATGCAAAGAGTAATTGTTTTAATTATTAAAATAGTAATTAATTAGTATTTTTGAAAGCATGCTATTTTTTATGTTGAAAAATTCGTTTTCATGATTTTTTAACAAATTTTTTCCCTAATAGTAAAAAATAGTTTTAAAATTGAAAAAATGTAGAATAGAAATCAATAATAGGACCTGTTTGCGATTTTGGTAATTTGAAAAATAATTTCTTTTTTTTTTCTTCCTTTTCGTCAGTATTGTTTTTCGAACATTGAACTTGGAAAAGAGAATAAAGGCTTGCGAAGATCCTATTAGTATACACATATATATATATATATATAGGAATAAATAAATACTGTTACTCCGAAAAATGTTAGGATGGAGTCTCCCTTGACGTGGATACATTTAGTATCTGATAGCCACAGGGTGGAATAAGTCCCTCTGGGACATCTGGTCACCACCTGCCTCGATTTGCCCTTACACTCTCTTTTTCTCTCTCTCTTTCTCACTTGTGTGCTACCAACTTCCCCTATCTTTATATATATATATATACATAAATGTGTAGAGAAAGCTCTCATATTTCCGCGACATAGCGTTATATATACCTATTACTTTATACAAACGTAGACACAAATTTTTTCTGAAACGCAGGTACATATACATGTACTTATACACACTTGAAATTATCGACTGTTCCATTAAATTTGACTCGACTTTGCCACTATAAACTCAAACTACAGTCCTCGTTTCATTTAAAGAATTCTATTAAAAAAAAAATACCCTCAATTTTTATCCATGTATCAATATTGTCGAGACGAAAAAATGTTTTTTTTACCAAAAAAAGGGTCTTTTCTTCCCAAAATCTGAAGGTGGAAAAATTCCTTTTTTTTTCAAAATTAATTCAATTTTTATACTTAACGAAATTTTTATTAAACCAAATTTCTACTTAATTAAATTTTTTAATTACAATTTTTATTTAATATTTTCATATTAAAAATTAAATAATTAAATTTTTAATTAATTAAAATTTAATTTAACAAAATTGTTTTTAAAAAAAATGTTAATATAACATTTATATTTTAATATATTAATTTTAGTATTTTTTATGTTATTTATATTTTTTTTGTTATCGAATTAAATTTTCATCAAAACAATTTTTTATTTAATTTAATTTTCATGTAATAGACAAATTTTAATTAATTAAAGTTTAATTTAAAAAAATTATTAAAAAAAATTTTTTAACTTACCAAATTTATAGAAAAAAAATTTAATACCAACAAAATTGTAATTTAATTTTTCATTTAAAAAACTTTTTATTTAATTCAATGTTCAATCAAACATAATTTTTATTTAATTAAAAATTTAATTTATCAAAATTTTCATATAAAAAAAAATGTTATTAAATTAAATTTGGTTTTAAAATTATTTTTTATTTAATTAAAAATTCATTTAAATATTAACACTTTTATTTATTTTAATTCTCATTTAAGAAATTTTTATTTAATTAAGTGTTCATTAAATTTTTATTTAGTTAAATTTTTCTATAATTAAATGTTCATTAAATTTTTATTTTGTTAAATTTTTCCATAATTAAATTGTAATCAAAATAAAAAAAATTTCAGTTAACGTGAGAAATTTTGATCAACTGAATTTCTATTAAAAATTTTCATTTAACCGAATTTTGATTTAGTATAAAATTTTATATTCACAAAATTTTAATTAGGGACGATTTTTCAAAAAAAAAAAAAAGAAAATTCTATTTAATATTCTAATTATTAAAAATCCGATTAAATCGAAATTATTTAAATTCGTAAATTATTCCCTTTTTTTATGAAATTAATCATTAAAAAATTATTAAACAAAATTTTGCATTTTTATAATTATTATAAATTATAATAATAAAATTTATCACTCGATATAGTTTTTAATATAAATAAATAAATAAAATATAATATTAAAATAAATATTATATAATAATTAATATTAGAAATAAATTGTTTATTAATAGAAATAAATAGTTTATTAATATAATTAAATTATTTATTAATATAAATAGAAAAATTTATAATAATAATAATTTAAAGAAAGCAAATCAATTATTTCTTTACATTTTTTTTCTCCGCTCCTTATTTTATAATGATCGATGTTATTCTATTCCGAAAATTATTTTTTTAAATCCGACCTAATAATTAAGGTTTCGTACTACATTTCATTTCGCTGGTCACTTGTCAATTGTTCCTGTATGCCGTCAAAGTATATATGAACCTTTTTCTCCCTCTCATGGGCAACTTGTCTTCTTTTTCATACCTTTAACCATATTATAACAATGGTGACGTGAAAGACCCGTGGTACAAAATTTACCCTAACTTCCCTTGGACTTTTTCGGATAATACTCACACACACATAGAGAGAGAAAGAGAATAGTTTCACATATTAGTGACTTTCTACGTAGTCTGCTTATACCACCTGGCACAAAGTTATAAGAATACTTAAAAATGTAGAGCCGTGTGTATATATGTCTGCTCTTAATCGTCCATCTCTCTCTCTATATATTTTTTTTTCTGTTCTTCCTTTCCTAAGTGAGAAATTGTTTCTGCTCATGCGCAAAGGACAAACCCTGTCCTTTTTAGGGGATGAAGAGAAAAAGAAGGGTGACGTAAGGTTCCTTATTTTAAAGCTTCCTTATACTTTCTGACATATGGTGTAAACCAGCTCTCTCTCTCTCTCTTTCTCTCTTCAAGAAGGGAGAATCAAAAAAAAAAAAAAAAAAAAGGGGGACCCGTGCTCGTTCCCATGACAAGTGCGATGAATATTTTTCATGTGAATCCTTCACTCCCCCGTGGGAATGGCCAAAGGGGAGTGCAAAATAATAATAATAGAAAAAGAAGAGACGAAATTAATTTACAATTTTCAATATCTAGTAAATTAGGAAATTAGAAATTTTTTTTTTACATTATTTCTAAATTCTTAATTTCTATATAGAATTTTTTTTTACATAATTTCTATTTTAATAAAAAAATTTTAATTTCTATATAGAATTATATGATTTATTTTTTTCAGATGATTTTTTTCACATGCAAATATTTAAGAAAGAAATTTGTGATAACAAAAATAAGAGGAAGTTTAGAAAAAATAAAATAATTGACGGAGAAAAAATCACCCCAAATGTACCGAAAATAAAAGAGAGCAGATGTATGCAATCAAAGTTTTCTGCCTCGTCCGTCAACTACCCCTCAAAGTTTTAAATTCTCTAAGCGCCATGTCGAGATGAAGGAAGAAATAATGCAAGAAGGTGATTTCGAGGAGAGAGAGAGAGAGAGAGAGAGAAAGAATGAGAAAGAGGGAGAAACAGAAACATCTTTTTGAATGATTTTACCATTGGATACTTTTTTTTTTTTGCCTTGCGAAATTTAGTCTTCATTTCTCAAAAATTCTGACGCAAAGAAGACAAGAGCGTAAGAAACAACCCCTTAGCAAATTTACAATTCGGCATTCGTGTCTTTCTCCCCTACAACCCGGATCGTTCATTGTTGTTTCCATATAGATATATATATATATATATATATATATATATATATATATATATATATATATATATATATATATATATATATATATATATATATATATATATATATATATAGGGGAACAGCTGCTATCAGTTGCCACCACTAGACGTCTGTAGACTTCCTTCCGTTTTGGGGGTTGGAAAGGAAAGAACCGCGCCAAGACGATAAATTGGAACTTTTTTTTTTTTTTTAAAGTACCGTCTTGTCTGATGGTCGATCTTTAAATAGCTTTTTGAAACTCAACAAAACTGAATATATTATGAATTTATGATTAAAAAAAAAAAGGGGGAACAGATGCGAGGTATTGGACATTTTCTCACTATCCGAAAACAATCTAAAAATTTTTGGGTCTTATTAATTTTCAATTCTGAAATTCAATTAACTTTGAAGAATTTAGAAGAGGGCTATAAATATTTCTATGTTACTTTATTAATTCGAATATTTGAATATTCGAATATTCAGTATTTTGGAATTTATAATTTCGAAAAATCGGAAAAATTGTTTAGGTGATTCTCTAGTTAGCCGAATTTTTTTTTTCGGAAAATTTTCTCTATTTTCCACATTTTATTGAATTCTTATTTGAATGGTTTCGAAAATTTCGAAAAATTTGTTTATCCAATTCTCTAGTTAGTCGAGTTTTCTATAAATTTTTCATTTTTATTTAATTCCTATTTGTTTCGAAAATTTGGGAAAAATTGTTTAACTAATTCTCTAATTAATCGAATTTTTAATCGAAAAATTTTCTCTATTTTTCGCATTTTATTGAATTCTTATTTGAAAAGTTTCGAAAATATCGGAAAATTGTTTAGCCAATTTTCTAGTTAGTCGAATTTTTTTTTTGCCAAAAATTTTCTCTATTTTCCATTTTACTGAATTTCTATTTGAAATATTTCGAAAATAATGTCTTATTTGAAAGATTCCAACTTTTTTAAAGTCGAAAAAAAATGTTTAGCTAATTCTCTAGTTAGCAAAAATTTAGAATTTTCTCCATTTTCCATATTATTGAATTCTTATTTTGAAATTTTTCGAAAATAATATCGAAAAATTGTTTATCTAATTCTCTAATTAGCCGAATATTTATTCAGGAAAATTTTCTCTATTTTCCATTTTATTGAATTCTTATAAATAAAAAAAAACAATAAATTTGAATTAAAGGTAGTAAAAAAAATCCAATTGCAATTGTTATTTCGAAAATACTGTACGAAGCCAGAAAAAAGAATTTCAAACTTTACTTTCTCATGGATGATGGATTTTTTTTTAGAGAACCTCAGGTAGTACCTACTTGCGTAATATGATATGCGAAAATATTCTCTTTTCCATCATGCGGCTTTAAAAAAAAAAAAAAAATGTATCCCACAAGTGTTCTTCATAGCAACAAGACGAATACTTAGTACCAAAACCGGTTTATCTGTCGTGCATGCTAATTTTAAATGATGGTTCCAACTTCCATGGTGATTTAAATATACTCTCAACCATAAAACTCGCAAAGAAAATCATTTTCAGATAAAGGAAAAATATTTTTCAAATTATTCTATTTTCATTTTCCCGCCTAAATTGAGTAAATTTTATTTTATTTTTATTATAATAATTATTATTTACAAAATGTATTTTCACCTTCATAAAATGTGTGTTTAAGCTCATAAAAAAAAAGTCAAGGGAAACCGGGATGGTCATAAAAAAAAGTCATTCACAACCGGATCTTGGAAGAATAAATATTCTTTTTCTTAAATGCAAGGAGACTTTCCTTAATTCCTGGAATTGTGTCCTGCGGGTATTTCTTTCAGTGCATGACCCTTGAACACTAAAAAGTTATAAAAATTTTTTTTTTTTTCCTCACTCTTGTATTTTTATATATATATGTATACATATTACGAATGGTTTTTGAGCCCCTTTGGCAGCTGCATACACGATGCAGGACCCCTTCTTTCCCCCCTTTGAAAATGTCTCTTCTCCTCCTCCCCTCACTCCACCCTCAACCCCAGTCACCTAGTGTGTCATGCACTCGTGCCACACAATGGGGGGAGGCTATAACACACATATACAATATCTTTAGGACACTACTATATAAGAGAGTACACATGCCATAAGCATATGCCATTGCCACACACAGATGGCTTTGCGGACTTTTAATAAATTCCCACCTTCAATAGGCAGGCCACCCCCTCAATCATATTGTACACGGTCTTCTGAAAATAATCGATTCTTTGTTACAATGAGACAGCATCCCAGTTAATTTAAATCTTTTTTCGTACCAATGTTTACATATTTGATTGCAATAAATATTTTTCGATCACATCTGTTTAATTATGTGGATCATTAATATTTTTTTTCTTCTTTTTTTAGAAGTCAAATAATGGGTGGAACGAATTTTCCAAAGCCTCATTAGAGAGAAAGGAATTTTTCTTTTTTTTTTGTTAATTTTGAGAAAAATGATCCAGTAAAATCAATTAGCTATGGAGAGTCACAGGAAATTGAATATTGATGATAATTATGAATTTTAATTTCGGTTTAATATGCGAATCGAAATTTGTTAATTTCGTTTTTCTATTTAGCAACATTTTTTTCGATTTGAAAATTATTTACAAAAAATTTTTATTCAATTGAATTTTTATTTTAGAAGAAAATTTTTCTATACAATCTTATTTAGATCTTTTTTTTTTATTTTAATTATTAACCAAATTTTTAAAATTATTTTAAATAATTTGAATGAAATTCTTTACAAATTCAATTATCTTAAACTATTTTCAAATTTATTTAAAAAAAAGTTATCTAAAATGATTTGATAAATTTATATTTATTTTACTTTCAATTCTGTAAAATTTTACAAAATCTTTTCAAAATCCAATTATTTATAAAAATTTCAACTCTAAATTTTTCAAAATTAAATTATTATTTTTTAATAATTTTAATATTTCTTTAAAAAAATTCAATTATTTAAAAAAGCTTCCAACTTAATTATTTTACGAATTTTTTTTTTACCATTGAAACTAAAAACTATGCAAAGAATTTTGAAATTCGAATTATTTGTATAAATTATAAAAAAAAATTTAAATAAAACTTGAAATATTTTTTTTAGAAATTTGAAAATTTGTCTTAGTTTGGTTTTAAAATATTCGAATTAAATTTTCTTGATAATATTCTTGTAGAATTATTCTTATTAAGGAATAAAAAAATAAATTAAATAATATACATTAGGTATTTAAAATAAAATATTTATAAACTAATTAAATTAAAAAATCGCCTTTTTTGCGCCTTAAAATCGATTCGAGGCATGTAATTAAATTGTTAATTTATTTTTTAATATATTTTTCTAAATTAAATTAGTGATGAATCAATTTTTTTGGAAAAAATTGAAATTAATTTTTGATAACAAAATTAATTGAGATTGATAATTAATTTGCGTTTGTCTCTCCCTTGGTTGCGAATAAAAGTGAATGGAACTTTTTGTTTATGCGATTCAAATAAAGTTAAATCCAACTGTCGCTTTTATCACACATATCCGTTATACTGTCTCGGACAGCATTACGTCATTCTTGCATTCTCCGGAATGTAAATTTACCACGCATGTGTCGACTTCTCTCACAGTATATATGTATATATATATACACTATCAAATGTTGTTATTTCGTTGAAAGTGAAAATATTACCTTGGTTTCACATTAGCAAATCTTGTATTACCCATGGGAAAAATGGAATCTTATTTCCAATGTAAAATTTATCCTTAAAAATGATTTTTAAAAATTTCTCAAATCTCCTTTTTTTCCAAATATCAAAATAGCGAAAATATATTTTTAATTTAAAAATAATTATTTTCTAAAAATTAAGGATCAAAAAGGAAATGTTTCCTAACGGAAGGAAACGATTTTGAGATTTAAGAAAGGGGAGAGAATTAGTTTCGGACAGGAAATTAATTAAAAAAAATACCCCTTCAAAGACAATATATATTTGTGACTCCGTGAACTTTTGACAGGATGCGGTCACACATGAATCTAGATGAACCAAAAGAAGATTCACGTTACATTACAGAATTACACACTAACCCTCCTTAGCAGGAAAAGAGTATAAGATGATCAAAATCACAATAAAAAGGGATCAGACGACGAACAGGAAGGATGTTTACCCACCCGTAATATCCTGTGACCTGATTCAAAAACAAATTTTGTTCGAAGATGTAGATACGAAAAAAAAATTCAATAGACATTTCTCCTTAAAAAAATTTCAAAAATTAAAAATAGAATAATTTAATTAATTAAATTTTTTTAATTATTTACAGTTCGAGATCTGGTTATGAATCAAGTTGCGGTGAGGATTCAGAAAATGAATATTCATATCAAGGTGGAACACAAAATTCAACGTCTGGCACGTCAAATCAAAATGGTGCAGCTCAAGGAAAGCAAATAAGTAAAAGTCGTTGGACAAAAGAAGAGGATGCACTGTTAAAAAAATTAGTGAGCCACGCCGATCATCATGGTTCAAATTTACGATGGGATGTTATTTCAGCACATTTCCCCGACAGAAGCGATGTACAATGTCAACAAAGATGGGCAAAAGTTGTTAATCCCGAATTGGTTAAGGGTCCATGGACCAAGGAGGAGGATGAAAAAGTTGTTGAATTGGTGGATCGTTATGGACCAAAAAAATGGACACTAATAGCGAGACATTTAAAGGGGAGAATTGGTAAACAATGTCGTGAACGATGGCACAATCATTTAAATCCAGGTATTAAAAAAACCGCATGGACAGAAGCTGAGGATCGTATTATCGTTGAGGCTCATCGTCGTGTTGGTAATCAATGGGCAAAAATTGCCAAACTTCTACCTGGTAGGACGGATAATGCAATTAAAAATCATTGGAATAGTACAATGAGACGAAAATATGAAACTGAGGATGGTCGAGTTTCTGGATCAAGAGGTAAGGGTGAAATGATTTTTTTTAAAAAAAAAAAAAGAAATTGTGATTAATTTTTGTATTTTTTTCAGGAAGGGGAAGAAGGAAAGGTAATGCTAATTCAAATCATAGAGAAACGAAGAAAACACAAGAAGATACTTCCGCTGAAGTGAGTAATAAAAATTCAAGAGGCGAAAGTAGTTCATCACATTCATCGATACCTGAGAATGCAGTTTGTGGTGATCTTGATCAGCTTGATTGGACAAAAGCTTGGGAACAACAACAACAACAGCAACAACAACCCTCAAATCGATCTCAGAGTAATTATCAAAATATGATGCACCTAAATGATTGCAATAATTCCGAGAGACAACTTAATTCACCGCCTCGACGTGAGGGATCCCTGAGGATAAAATCAGAAGCCCTGTCTCCATTTTCGAGGTATTTATAAATCCTACTATTCTATTTATGAATACAATTTTATTTATTATTTTGTTTATTTTATGTTTTTTTTATTTGAAATAGATATTTCGATTTGGATATACCAAAAGAGGCGAGTAGCTCGAGATCATCGGAAATTCGTCTTTTACCAATGCCCGATTTAGAATGTATGGAGAAGGAAAAATCAAGTCCACCTCCGATACTTCGAAGAAAACGAAATTTTCAAATTATTGAAAGAACCGATACGCCTGACAGTGGGAATCAATCTGATTATTTATTGAATCAACATCATAATCTTGGTACAACACCGTCGACGCCAATTAAACAACTTCCTTTCAGTCCATCACAATTTTTAAATAGTCTCAGTCCTGAGACATCATGGCCACGTGCCAGTACACCCAAAGGAAGTCCTGAGGCCTTAACAACACCTCAACCATCAGGTTTGCGTCGTAATCTCGGTGGTAAGTCAATAAATTAAAAAAAATTAAAATAGAAATTTTAATTGATTATTTTTTTTTCAATGGAAATATTAAATTTCAGACACTGGTATGACGCCGAGGACACCGACACCATTTAAAAATGCCCTCGCTGAATTGGAACGAAGAATTGGATCATCAACACATTTGCCGGCAACTCCAAGTCGTTTGGATGCACTCACAGAAATAATAAAACAAGAAACAGATCAAGAGAGTTTTGCCTGTTCGAGTAGTATGCTTCAGGATTCTGGCTATGGAACGGGACGACGAAGAGGAAAGGAAAATAGTGCACCAGGTGGTAAACGAGCGAGAAAAGCACTTTGTCAAGCGTGGGCAAATTCAACAGATTCCTCGGATATGAGTTTCGCCATCGAGACCCCGGTGATTGTTTTAATTTTTTTTTTTTTTCGTTTTTTTTCGAATTCTTTTCAAATTATTGAAATACTAAATTTAAAAAAGTAAAAAAAGAATTTTACGTTTTAAAGGGAAATCTAATATTTAAATTTAAATTTCAGAGTAAAAATTTGGATACGTCTGTGCTGTTTTCTCCAGCATCAATGGCATTGGAAGACAGTTTTTTGGCAGCTGGACCGAGTCCCGTGAAGGTAGAGCAATATGTCCAAAGTCAAAGCGAAAATTTAAGCCAACCAGCCCTATCCTGGTACTATTCCCGCTCCAATCGCCTTTAGACACGCTAGCCGGCCTTTTCTTTCTTTCTTTTCTTTCCAAATCTCTCTCTCTCTTTCTCTGCTTCTTTTTTTTCATATTTTCTAACTATCGCTCTGTTTTGTCTGTTTTTAATATAAATATATATATATTTTTTTGTTTCTAACACTGCACTTGAAAATTCATATTTGTCGCTCGTACCCGCATCGGGCCTTAATCAGCGTAGCGCCTTTCATGAATGTGTCCGGTGTATCACAACTGAATTGTGCCCAAAGAAAAAAAAATAAGAAAAAACCTCTTTTTCTTTTTAATTAAAAAGAATTTTTTTTTTGTTTAGTTATTATATTATTTCTTTTAATTAAAAAGAAAATTTTAATTTTTGAAAAAAAAATTTTTAATTAATTTTTAAAATTGATTTAGGATTTTTTTTTAAATTTACAATTATTTTAATTTAAAAATATTTTTATATTTTAAAAATAGAATTATTGATAATATTTTTATTTTAAAAATTATAAGGTAAAAGTTTATCGTCAGTTTGGCTAAAAATTTCCAAAAAATAGTCGTTTTTTCAATTTTAAATAATATATTTCACTGCTTTAAATTTTTGAATTATGTGACGATTTTACCTTTTAATTATGGGCTTTTACCTTAATTATTGAAAATATTTTTATTTTAAAAATAATTTCGTTTAAATGATAGGTTTTAAGTATCGTTCTATTATTATTTTTTTTTGATTAATTTATTTGAGAGGAAATTAACAGGCAATTTATTAACCCTGAGCGCAACAACTGTTTCTTTAAGTTCTAAAATTTCTTTTTTTCTCCTTGTTAATTAATTGTAACCAAAAAAAAAAAAAAAAAAAAAACAACAACAACTAAAAGACTCAGAGTTGCACGGTTGTAAAAAAGAAAATGGTTTATGTAGATCAAAAAGCCATTATTGCTTATTTCCTTTCTTTTTTTTTAAGTTTATCGTGACGCTTTTAGTTTTTAGTAGAAAACGTCCAAGACGTGTTCTTAAGTACTTAATTTATTCCTATCCTGTAGGTATTGACATTCGATTTTTTTTTCTCCCACCCCCCACCCCAAAAAAAAAGTTATTTTTATTAAAAATAACGAATTTCTTTACCAAGAGAATTTATTGTTGGATCGAATTTTGTTTTTTATTCCTAATTTTTTTATTCTTATCGTATGAGAATATATTTTTTTTTTTGTAAAATAAACTTTGTTATGAAACTATTTTTTTTTTTTTTTTTTTTTTTTGTGTCGAGAGCAGAACAAAAATACCACTTCGAAAAATTATCGAAAAAAAAAACAAGAGAGCCTCAGCTCCAAGTTTATTTTCTTCTCTTTTGTACAAAGATTTCGAAAAATCATTTTTTTTTTTTTAGTTATTTGTTGAGGGTATTTATATGAATATTTATATTATTTAATTTTTTTTTAGTTTTCCCCCGTTTTTTTTTTCTTTTTGGGTTGTTGCATGTCAGCACTAACTCCAAAGCGAATCATCCTTAACAGGCCTGGCCTAGCGTACCAAAGTACCTTGATCCTGTCGTCCCCTTAAAAAATAAAAACGCCTTTTTTGGCAAACGAACAACCCAAAGATAATTAATATAAAAAAAAACCAGAGCGTAAAAAAAATGCTCATTATATGATGATGACTCGCGTATGTACCAAATACAGAGGCCTAGTCAACTCTACGATAATAATAATTATTTAAAAAAAAAAAATTATTAGTCACACACCAAGTTGTATAAAAAAAAAAAATTAATATTTAAAAAAAAACGAATTACGAGCCCTCTTTGGTTCTTTGTTTTGTATAAATTAAAAAAGAAATTTTTTTTTTTTTTTTTTTAGAAACTTTTGAAACTTAAAAAAATCTTTTTTAAAATATTTATTCTTCAAAAGAAAGAAAAAAAAATTAATTAAATTGAGACTCTATCACAAAATTTTCCACGTGTGTTTCTTAACTGCCGGCTGTAGCTAGAGTGTGTCTATCCTTTCCAGACCTCCCACGACTTTGTGTCCGTTCATCGGAAGTCTAATGCCAAGAGGGCGATATCGTTCGACGCGTTTGACAGCCCCTGTAATTTCAGCCCTCAACCTCGGCCACCATCCAAACGCGCCAAGGTGAGTCCGCTTTTTTTTTTTTTCTCACAACGTCCTACCAAAATGAAAAAAAAAAAAAATACATTTGCTTCTCTCATTATTCACAAAACATTATTCATTATTAATTAATTGTTAATATAATATTTGTACTTACATCACAAATCAAGAATTTTTTTTAAGTGCTTCAAAGGGTTTTTTTTTTTAAATTTGTGTGTTGTGTTTTGGTTTTTTATTAAATGTGTGGAATTTTTTGGGGGCGTCTTTTTTTTTTTAATGGTTAGGGGGTTTTAAATTATTTCCCGTCAGGAAAGATAATTGAAAATTAATGTTTAATAATATTTAGAAAGTTTATGTAATTAATAGAAAAACAATATAATTATATATAGAAGATTCAATTATATTACATTTTTTTCCAATTATTATTTTTTTATTTATTAGTCTATAAATTTTGTTTATCTTTAATTATATTTTTTAATCATGTGTTTTATTTCAGAATTTGAATAATATATATAAAAGAAATTGTAACTTATTGAAATTCTCTAAGACAACAAAATTTGCAATTTTTAGTAAATATTTGATTTAATTTTAAAAAAATTGTTAATTTAATACTGAATTTAATTTTTCAGCTGCAGTTGGAAGTGCAATGGGCAACAGTTGCTTGCGGTCAAACAATGGATCAACTCGAAATGACGAGAGCAGCTCGCAAATTTCTTGGTATTCAAGGATTTCTCACACTACGCCCACGTTCTCTTAAGTTTTGAAATGTGTAATCTACATTGAGATTCTCGATTCAAGTTTCTTTTCTACTTGTAATTTTGTTAAAACCATATAAAAACAAAAAAAAAAAAAGGAAAATAACTGAATATAAATTGATTTTATATTATTAGCAAAAAAAGAAAATTAATGGTTTAACGAAAATTAAAAATGTATGTGCAAACTCAGGGAAAAATTTATTTCCTAGAGTAATTATATAAAATTCCGCATATGCGAATTATTTTCTATTTAACTAAAATAAAATTTATTTTAATTTTATAAGCTCTGGTAGCTAAAAAAAAAGTTTCCAGACTCGAAAAAATAAAAGGATTCAACCTTTTATTATTAAGAAATAGAGATTTTTTATTGAATCGTGAATCTCTCGACTGATAACTAGAGAAAAAAGGCGGCTATGTCCGGCTAATTTTATTATTGTTTGTTTTTTTTTCGAAAAATTCAGTACAATAACGTAATTATTTTCAAAATCCAGTGCAAATGAAAATCATTTCAATTATTAGTTTATTAAAAAAAGAATTTTTAATCACGTTATTGTATTGAATAATTTGCCTTTTAATTTTATATATAAAAACCACATAAAAATGCTACAGTTTATATAAAAAAAAAAATAAAATTGTTTATTTTGATTGAAAAAAATTTCGAATGCTGTTTTTAAGCATTCTGATAGTACAAAAAAAATAGGAGAATTAAATTTTCTCTACAATCATTTTTAATTTTTCCTATTTTTACTGTTTCATAATTTAGTTTTTTTTTTTTTTAAAAAAACAAATTTTGAAACGATCTATTTGAATAAATTATATATAATGTATTGTTTTAAACTGCAGCAGAGAGGGTTTTTTTTCTTTTTTTAAATGATATATGTTATTACGAAAATTTATAATATATTTCATATGTACTTTTGATGGAAAAAAAAATTGTTTCTTTAGAGTCCATTTGATTTGTATATGCCATGTGCTGTTTTTTTTCTTTTTTTATAAAAGATATTATAAGAGAAATGAAATTATAGCCGATTTATTTCATAGATTATAATATAAAAAAAAACACTATAGTGGATGTTATGTAAAAAGAGCCTTTGTAATTGGTATTTAATTTACGAATAAAATATGTAATAAATAAAGTGGTGAAGATCGCACATAAATGTTTTAATTTATTTCAAGTATTTTTAATTTTCAATAATAATTAAATTTATTTATTTTTTAAATTTATTTCAAATTTTCTTAAATCTTTTTTGATATTTTATTTAAATAGGTTTGATTGTCTTTTTTATGTAATTTTATTTTCAATGAAAAAAAAAAAAAACATTTACTGATCACAAAGTGCAAATTTTATTTAATATATATCGAGTAACACAGCATGAATAAAATTTCAGTCGACACTAAAACGAAGACACAATTACGGAATGAATTACATTTATATATATATATATAATTATTACATTTATTGGAATTATTTTAAATTAAAATTTTATTTAAGATATTTTTCTAATATGGAATGATGAATTTTTTTTTTTTTGTTTATGATTGATAAAATCATTTATAAAAATTTCTAAACTAATAAAATTATATTGAAATATATATATATATTTTTTTTACCATTATAATTATTTTCATACGGTAACAAAATTTTCAACGAGCGAAAATTGGTCAAATTTTTATAAATTATAAAACTTATACAATTTAATAGCATTATATAATAATAATAATAATCTAGTAAAGAACAATATTTCAAAAATTTTATTTTTTAACTATTAACCTATTTTTGATCAATGATCAAGAAAAATGTCTTTTAAAAGCTTCATTGGAAAAAACGAGAAAATCTTTCATATTTTTTTTTTAACAAACAATTGCAATATCTCTTCTAATTATTAATTATATCTAGAATATTAAAAACAATTAACAAACCTTTTTTTTTTTGATAAACGACTTGTCTTAAAATACAATACTTTCGGAAATTAAAATCAGTTAATAATAATTCCTTTTAATTAGAAAAAAAAAGTATTTAAAAAAGTACAAATTATAAAGGATTTTGAAAGTTAAAATTGTAAAAAGTAACTAAAATTAGAAATTGTGAAAGATAATTAAAAAAAAAAACAAGTATTAAATGCTAAAAAATAATCTATAGAAAAGGATAAAATAACAAAATTTAAATGATTTACTATTAACTAAAAAAAGTAAAATTAGAGATCGTTGGTATTTATAATTGAAGAAAATTTTTAAACTTCTTTTTTAGTTTGGCAAAAAAAAAAATTGTTGAAAAACCATTAATAGATCCTAATTATTGACTAATTTAAAAAATCTAAAAACCTATATGTATATATATATATTACAATTTCTTAATTGAAATCAATCTACGTGTGATATGAGAATAAAATTGTCTACTTTGAATACTTATCTAAAAAAAGGAAAATATTACCAAAATATCACACTATCATAAATAATGTGATTTTTAACCTTGGAATGTTTTTTTTTCGAATTCAAATTAATGATTTCGCCATTCATCATTTTTTTTTTTTATCAATGATCAGCTTCACCGCTTCCGCTCGCGACTTCACCTGCTTGATTGTTACCTGAAAAATTATTTAAATATAACTTCTAATTTATTATTACTATTTAATAGTTAATATTTTTTTTTTTAAATTTTCTTTTTAATTAAATTTAATATTCACAATAACGATTTGCGTTTTACTCACACAAACCGGAAGTTTCCTTAATTCTGCAAGTATTATAACTTCCACATCTTAGACATTTTAGGCCAACTATGTGAAATTTAACAGTTGATTCCTTAAAATAGAAAAAAAATTATCAAAATAAAAGTAAATTTATGAAAATTTTCTCAATTGTACCGATTAAATGAAAAATTTTTACTTTATGACAGTCCTTGCAGAGAATTTCAACCATTATATCTTCATATTCAGGTGGCATTGGAGTGAGAATTACTTCGCTATCCAAAAATCGCCACAATTCAGTCATATCGAGAAGCGAAGTTTGACAAGTTGGACAAGCATAATGTCCCGAATGAAGAAGATCTTGAAAACAAATTCCATGAAGTAAATGTCCACAAGTTGGTATATGACATGGAATACGACTTGTATGAATAAAATCTAAACAAACGGGACAATTCGAGTGCGATACATTTTCCACACACTGAAAAAAAAAAATTTCAATTAAATTAATTTTCCAAAAAAAAAAATATTCTACTTGAAAGAAAAATTCGTAAACTGATTTATAAAAATTTAAAATCTTAAAAATAACATTTTCTTTTTGTTTTTTAATGCATTTTTATGGCAAATATTGATAAAATATTGACCTTGTGTCCATTTTGCAGTTCCACAGGTAAACACATGTTACACTTGGCACAATGGAAAAATCTATCACGACCTCCAAGTCTACATATACCGCAACCATTACAATGATATTGTTTTTTATCAACATCATCAAACAGGTTGCATTCAAGGCAGGTGTATTTGCCAAAACGACAGTGACATTTTTGGCATGTGGCCTGCACTGGTTGACGAGTATCACATAAAACGCAAATTAATTCAGTGACCTCTTTTCTTTTAACAGTATGCGTTTCCTGTTCATCGTGACAAAATCGACATGTATAAACTTTATTACAACATGGTGTCTGTAAAAAAAGAAAGAAAAAACAATTTATTAAAATTGAAACAAAAATTATGAAAAATAATTTACAAAAATCAATAATTACCACAAATTTTGATTTTCGTTTATAGTGCTCACATCCATAATCATCGCCAATTTCTTCAGTTGCTTCAGTTGCTTTTTCAACTAATGCATTTTCTTCCTGCACTGAATCTAAAGATTCATTAACATCTTTATCTTCCACTGGTGAATTTTTTTCACTTTCCATTTTATTCCAAAAAAATTTATTACCACAGTGATGACGTTTCAATTCTAAATTGAAAAATTAGAAACTTAAAAAGGCATTCCGCATTCGATCAAAAAGAATGAGGTTAGGAATAGAAAAAAAAGGAAAACCCACCGTTAAGTAGATCTAAAAACAAAATTGTTTACTTAATTTTATTGATCTTGAGTACGATCTAACAACCTGGTGTACATGTCTAAAAAATGTAATCAAAAAAATTAATAATCACTTTTGTTTTTTGTCTCCTTTAATATTTATTAACGAATTATTCACTTATTCGTGGAAAATTAGATATTATAAACTTTTTTTTTTTTAACACTTGCACACCTTTGAATTGATAAATTATAACAATTTTGTAATGATGGGAAATGGTGACAAAAAGTCAATTTACCGAATTTACACATTAGTGCGTTATAGAATCCGTGAGATGGAGTTCCTGAATTATCATAGGAGCACAGTCATTATTCGGAAACCATAACCTCCTTTTGGTGACCAAAAATTATAAAAATAAGGAATATTTCTAATTTATTTAATTACTCATTATGTCTGAAACACAATATAAATTAAGCTGTACGCTTGTTGGACATAAATTGGATGTTCGATCTTTGACAGTTACTAAAGATGGAAATATTCTATCAGCCTCCAGGGACAAAACTGCACGTATTTGGAAACCAAGCGGGTATGTTTAATAATATAATTAATTCATTTTTTGAAAATAAAATAAAAATATCAAATTTCAGAGATGGAAAAACCTATGTCGAGGCCGCTGTTTTAAAAGGACACAACAATTTTGTAAGTTCTGTCTGCATTTTAGAATCAACGGAAAAATATACCTCGGGCGTGATAATAACGGGAAGTAATGATTCGAATATTTGTTTATACACACCGGGTGAAAATGAGCCATTTTTTACATTTAAAGCTCATCAAAATACGGTATGTAATTTACGAGCAAGCGAAGAAAAGGGACATTTTCTCTCTAGTTCATGGGATATGACAGCAAAATTATGGAATATAAATGACGTTAGTAATCCAAAGGTGACATTTATTGGTCATACAGCGGCAGTATGGTGTGTATTAGATATAAAAAATGCCCTAATGATAATAACAGGATCGGCCGACAAATTAGTCATTGTTTGGTCGAGAAATGGAATTATAAAACATAAATTAACAGGTCACACTGATTGTGTTCGTGATATTGTTGGCATAAGTGACGATGAATTTTTAACATGTGCCAATGATGCAACTGTACGTCATTGGAATGCATCGCAAGGTATATGCCTTGGTACCTATGATGGTCATACAAATTATATTTACAGTATTTCCGCAACTCCAGGCGGTGAAATAATTGCAACCTCTGGCGAGGATCGTAGTTTACGAATTTGGCAAAAGGCAAATATTAAACAAACTATTTATCTTCCACCGCAATCAATTTGGAGTTCAAAAATATTGCCAAACGGCGATATTGTCACTGGTGCTTCGGATGGTGTACTGAGAATATTTTCCACTAATTTAGAACGTCAGGCTGATGCTCAAGTTTTACAGACATTCGAAGAGGAAGTTGCGAGTGTTCAATTGAACGCTCAACAAGAACTCGGTGGTCTTAAGATCAGTGAGTGAGTATTAAATTATAATATCGAATAATTTATATATATAATAATAAAATGCTTGGTCTGTCCTTCTGTCCTAATTTGAAGTTGGCCTTTTCTGATTTCACGTGTTTTTTTTTTTTTTTTTGAATAGTAATCTTTATGATGAGAAAAAAGAAAAAAGATGCGCCAGAAAATTTCGTACAAGATAGTAATTTGAAAAAAATTTATTTTTAAAAATTAATTTTTAAGGTACCAGGGGCCAACGAATACCTATTAAATATTAATTATAAAAACACAGGCCTCGAATCAACTTAAAGACACAAAAAAGTCGTTTTAGTCGATTTATATTCCAAAAAAAAGTGGATTTGTTTTTTATTTTAACAAAAATATTTTACAGATTTTTAAATAAAAATTTTTTTTTTTTTAATAATAATCCTTTTCGAAGGGTTAAAGTTGAAATTTTTAGAAATAATTAAATTTCAAAAGATATTGTTAATTTTCAAACAATTATTAAATTTTACAGAACTAAAAATAATTTATCAAACAATTTTTGGAAAACATTTTTTAAATTTAATTGAGTCGCCGGAAAGTAAAACCACACAAAATTCTGACTCCCATTGAATTAACATGGCCGTCAGAATTTTATGTGTGGTTTTACTTTCCGGCGACTCAATTGAATTTTCAAAGATTTAAAATTGAGATTTTTGAAATTAATTAAAACTTTAAGTGATTTTTAATTAAAATTTTAAATGATTTCACTAAAAATTTATTAGAAAATGCGGACAAAATACAATAATTTGAAAAATGGTTTCAGATAGTTGAAATTTCAAAGAATATTATTAAAATAGTTAAAAATAATTGAATTTCCTTAGAGTTATAATTGAAATTATTAAATTTCAAAAAAAAAAAATTTTCGAAGGAATATTTTAGAAATAATTAAATTTTAGATGCTTTTAAATTCAAATTATTGAAAATTCAATTAATTTTGAATTCAAATTTTTGAGAATAATGAAATTTTATTTGATTTTAAATTGAAAATTTTTGGGAAATAATTGAATTTTAATTAAAATTTTGAAAATAATTGAATATTAGTTGATTTTAAAACCACAATTTTAAGAAAATAATTGAATTTTAGTTTATTTTGAATTGAATACTTGGAAAATAATTGAATTTTAGTTGATTTTGAATTGAAATTTATGAAACTAATTAAATTGAAATTGAAAATTTTTAAAACAATTGAATTTTAGTTGATTTAGGATTGAAAATTTTGAAAATAATTAAATTTCAGTTGAAATTTGAAAAATAATTGAATTGTAGTTTATTGTGAATTGAAATTTTTGAAAATAATTGAATTTTAGTTGACTTTGAATTGAAATTTTTGAAAATAATTGAATTTCAATTCATTTTGAATTGAAAATTTTGGAAATAATTGATTTTCAATTGAAATTTTGGATAATAATTCAATTTAAGTTCATTTTTGATTGAAAATTTGAATAATTAATTTTGAATAGAAATTTTAGAAAATAATTGAATTTTATTTCATTTTAAATTGAAAACTTGGTAAATAATTAATTTTTAAATTGAAAATTTTTGATAATTATTGAATTTTAATTGATTTTGAATTAAAATTTCTTATAATAATTGAATTTTAGTTTATTTTGAATTGAAATTTTTAAAAAATAATTCAATTTTATTGTGATATTTTTTTTTAAATTATAAACAATTGTTAAATTTCATAAAAATTTTAATTGAAAAAATAATTTTGATATAATTGAATTTGTGATGTATTTCATTAAAATTATTAAAAATAATTAATTTAGTGAAGAATCATTTTAGTTCAAAATTTGTTAAATAATTGAATTGAAGAAGATCTGAAGAAGATCTACATTTTATACTAAAAAATGTATTTTATTTATATTTTTTTTTCATATGTAAAAAAAATGTCGCATTTTATTAAAATAAGTCGATAAAAGTCGTATTTTTGAAAAAAATTGGAAAAAGTCGTATAATCCGAGGCCTGTAAACATATAATTTTCATTATTATCATTTAATATGTAATAATATTCTAATAAAATAAATTATTATTGATAATATTAATCTTTAATTTTTTTTATAACAAACAATTAAATACTTAATTTGGCGCGCGTTTAATTTTGCTAGTTTGATTATTAATTTTGATTAATTTTCAGATTACCAGATTCAACTGCTTTATTTACACCGGGGAGAAAAGATGGTCAGACAAAAATGGTGAGAGAGGGGAGCAATGTGGTTGTTTATAGTTGGTCAGCGGGTCAGCAGCAGTGGAAAAAAATTGGCGATGTCATGGGTGCAACGGGAGGAAGTGCTGCAACTTCTGGAAAACAACTTTACAATGGAATCGAGTACGATTATGTATTTTCAGTTGATATTGAAGAAGGTTCGCCACCATTAAAATTGCCCTATAATATTGGACAGGATCCTTGGCATGTTGCACAAAAATTCATTCACGATAATGAATTGAGTCAATTATTTTTAGATCAGGTATTAATTAATTTGATTTTTTTGCTTTTTTACAGACCTCAGATCGACTTGAAGGCACAAAAAAATCAATTTACCTTCTAAAGACGATTTTTTAAAATTTAATTAGTTAATAAATATTTTACTTTAAATAATTAATGTTATTAGAAATTAAATTCATTGTATTAATTCCTTAAGAATAATTCTAGAAGAATACTATGAAGATAATTTATTTGGAATAATTTTCAAAATTTTAATTAAGTATAACAAATTTATAAAAAAAAATTAAAAAATTTCAAAAAATTAAATTAAAAATTTTTTGAAGCAATTTATTCCAATTTAAAATTTTGGTATACTTTTTAAAATAAAATAATAATAAAACTAATAATATTATTAAAATAAGTCGGAAAAAGGCGAAAAAAACGTATAATCCGAAGCCATTTTTATATTTATAATTTGTTGATATTTTATTTATATTTTTAATTTAAAATTTTACTCCAGGTGGCTAATTTTATAGTAAAAAATTCACAAGCTGCGCCTGTATTGAATACAACTGCTCAATATACAGATCCATTTACCGGGGGAAGTAGATACATTCCTACGTCAAATGCACCGAGTACTGAACAAAAAATTCCCATTGCCAGTTCCTCTAATTCGTCAGTTGGTACTATCTACATACCTAGAGATAGTTATTTAAAATTGGAGCAAGCGAATCTCACAGTGATTTTTGGTGATTATCTCTCTCTTTTTTTCATTTTTCAACTAATAATTAATTTTTCAATTAATAATAATATAATTAATAATTGATTTTAAATTACGAAACGAAATTTTTTTTTTAGACAAATTGCGTGAATTTAATGCAAAACGTGACAGTATGCATCAAGCATTGGATGATAAATTGGAATCAGTGGTAAAACTCGCGGGTAATGATTCTATAATTCCTGGATCAATAGATATTTTAAAAGGGCTTTTAGATTGGACAAACGATATAGTGTTTCCTGCTCTTGATATTGCACGATTGGCCGTTTTACGAAAAGAAGTTAACGATGAATTATGTAATGAGGATTTAATGGAAGTTGTAAGACGACACATTAATGCCAATTCATTACAATCGAATCAAATGCTCAGCTTTCGATTGTTGGCGAATATGTTCTCACATAAAAAAGGAGAGAAACTCGGTCTTGAATATCGAGATGAAATTCTCAAGTGTTTGTTAAATCTACCCTCACTAGGCAACAAAAATAATCAAGTAAAACTAATTTCCTTATATTCATTATTGTAGAATTAAAAATTCAAAATGTTTATTGGTTTTTTAATTTGGGGGTTTTTTTTTTTAGGTTTCAATAGCCACTTACGTATTAAATTTAACTGTTGCATTAAATAAACATAACGATACATCGGGCAAAACGAGAGCAATGAACGTGATATTGTCAATGATTCCACGATTACAAGAGCCGGAGGCAATATTTAGGATTTTAGTTGGACTGGGAACACTTCTCGATGGCACTAATGATGTAAACAATCGAAATGAATTAATTGAAGCAGTGCGTCAATCTGAAGTTGCCTTAACAATGCTTAGAACATTATCGGAAGACAATGGCGATGTTAATTCACAAAATAAGCTTGCCAGTTGTTCGAAACAAATTATCAATTTACTTTTTTAAAAAAAATTGGAAATTTTCTTTTTAAAACATGTAAATTTGCAATGCTTTTATATATTTTTATCATATGTACAGTTTTTTGATGCTGTAAACGAGACTGGAAAATACCTTTTTTGTCACTATTATTTATAATACAAGTTTATTAACTATAAAAATCTTTTTTTAACTTCTTTCATTATAATTTCAAAAATAAATTAAAAATATATAATCGAATATATTTGCAAAAAAAAAATTTAATCAGCTAAAAATAAATTCCAATATTTTACAATAAAAAATAATACTACAGTCAAATCTGTTTAATTTGTTTAGAAACCTTAAAAATCAGATTAATTAGATAGAAATAATAAAAAATTAATTTTAGATTATAATTAGAATTAATTTTAAAAAAATAGTAATTTTTGAAAAAAATTATTTTTTTCGAATTTGAATTAAATTAATTTTGTTTGCATATGTGAGCAATATGTGCACACGTGCGTAACATTTTACTTTCACTATTACTCCTCTTTGCAGATCGTCTTGCGTGATCAATTGGCAGGAAATCGATGTAGAATTGATATATATACTGATTTTACAATTACAAAAACATTGATTCAATTTTGTTGATCAAACAAGTAATGAATATTATTATATCATCGTGTTGTTACAGGAATAACATATAAATTTTATTTAATTTGCATAAATTATTAGCTAATCAAAGTCACATAAACCTTTCTTCATTTATAATCTTTCTGAATTATGTATTCAATATTCATGAAAAAAATTATTTTATTATTAGGGACTTTAAATAGAAAAAATAATTTATATTCCAACAATCATTTAAATTGAAATTCTATTTTTATTTTTTATAATTTATTATTATTATTATTATTATTAGTTTTTATTATTATATATTATATAGTTAAAACTATAAATTTTTAAATCGTAAAATACTTTCATTGCGACTGTATAATTTTGATTTTAATGTCAATTGTAAACAAATTTTATGAGTTCTACAAATTGAGATTCAAATATTATTTTGTCTATTTGATTTAGTTAGTAAAAAAAAAAAGTAATTGATCTTTATATTGATGTAGAAAACGAGAGAGGTTTTCATTTCTGGATAGAATATGATGAAAGGAAGACTGATGGTTCTTTTAAATAGAGAGTCACTGGGGCTGACTCAGATTCGTCAAGATGACCATGACCATAATAAAGGACCACGACCAGCTTACTTAGCTTTTAATGTTGTTGTAACATGTATACTAACACCATTAAAATACATTAACTGAACTACAACGTTATACACCAGCAAGTAATAAAATACTTACAGGATACCGAGTTGAAGGATTTCTGATTCTAAAACAAGAACTATATTTTTTTTTCTCTACAATACACTCTAATCATTACCGTTTTATTACTACTTCATTTATTATCTGTATTTAATTTTTATTATATTTTATTTAAAATTATTATTTGTTTAATATTAACTATTTTATAAATTAATTATTAAAATTAATTTTTTATTAATTAATTATTTAAGTTGAAAATTTTGAAAAATTAGTTCGAAACCAAACAATAATTTTGTGATGCTCGTGACTAAAAAAAAAAAAAAAAATTAACATAATGTCTGATTAAAAATTATCTGGAGGTAGAGATTTACATTTAATAGATTCTGCATGAATAGAAAAAAAACAAGAAAAATAGAAAAATATTTTGTTGTAATAGCAAGAAACTAATAATATTCATAGAAAATTTTTTTAATAAAGTTCCTTTGTTTTTTTTTAAATTAAATAATGAAAGAATTTCTGGCAAAAGTGAATGCAAACCAAATATTAACCCAGAGAGTATAAATAAAATTTTAATAAAAAATTTTTTTCAATTTTAATTTAATATTTTTTTTTTTCCTTTAATGTGAAATAGAATAAAAATTTTTGTTTACATTTGCGATGAGTAACAAAAAAATATTGTTATTCACTTTAAAAAAAAACGACGTGTTTAAATAGTGCATTTTTATTGTTCATAATTTACAGTAAATGCTTAGAATTTTATTGACGTAAACAAAGAAAAAATCAAATCGCTAGTTATCTAATAGGCTGGTAAACAAATTCTACGAAGTGCGAGTGAAACAGTTTCTCACGGAATGAATATTTAATAAATGATGATAATAATAAAATGAATGAAAATTGAAGACGAGTTCGTGATTCTATGCATTTTAAATATAGACGTCATGTTATTCACCGTTTATCTTCGATTGCATCAAAATTATGATCCGATTCATAATAGACGCACGCTAATGACATAATGAAAATGAATAAAAAAAAAATAACGTTTAGAGAGGATTTTTTAGAATCAAGGCTTTGGAATTTTTTTTTTAAATTTCACCAGTATGTGAAAATTTTTTAACGATGAAAAAAAAATCTCAGTTAATACTGCATGCGAGGGTCACTCCAAAAATAATGCGCTTCGATATTTCTCAAGGAAACCAGAAACGAGATAATTTTACTGACGAGTTACTCGATTGTGAATAAGTATATTCATGTTCACAATTTATTATGCGAACATAACCGCATGTCGGTATAATAATCACAAGCGAAAAAAGTAATCCAAAAAAATTAAGTAAAAGACACGACCCTTAATTACATATATAAACTGGATTATTTTAATTTTTTTTCTAGCGAAAATATAAAAAAAAGCGCCAACTTTCTTTATCTATTTATTGTTTTTTTAAATTTCTTTTTTAATAATTAATTAATAAAATCTAATTTTTTTTCCAGAAATTAAGTAAATTTCTAATTTAAACTAAATTAATAAAAAGCTAAAATAGCTACGAGATCTCATTCGATAAGTGAGGATTAAAAAAACAACTCCGTTACACGATGATATAAGTTGCAATAAGATATATAGATCCAAGAAAAAAAGAAGATGAGGTGAAACATCTATTTAAACGGGAAAACAATTCCCTCTTAGAAAAAAAAAAAAATAATTTGTAAGAAAATTTCTCATTACTCACATATTAATAGAGAGGGGATTGGTAGTATTTTAGCGAAACATCATTTCTAAGCGCGTTAAAGATCAATCCCGTAGACCAGGATCTAATGACTTGACAGCCGTAACCTTCAGAGCGTGTAAACGTGCAGTCAATTGAATTTTCATGAAATCGAGAATTATTGTACTGTAAACAATCCTGTTCATCTAATTACGTTGCAAACCACTTCCCATTTTTTTTTTCCTCTTCACCTAAATGAGAAAAAAAATACAAATTTTTGTATTTAAACAATTTTTATAAAAAGTAAAATTTTTCAAAATATTCTATTAAGGTTGCAAATTTAATTAATTAAAATATTAGTACATTTTAAAAATTGTATTTTCATTTTGAAAAATACTTTTTTTTCAATATTTTCATTTAATTAAATAATTGTTTCTTCTTTCAGACAAATTAGTTTTAATTAATAGTAATTAATCTAAAATAGATTTACTATGAATTTATTTTACTCTGTATAAAATGTAAATTTCTAATTAAACAGAATACAAACCCATCTAATGCCCTGAGGGTAGGTCCTTGAAAGTATTCTGATGATTGCCCAGGGCAACAAAATCTCCTTGGAAATATTAGCAACGGCCTGCCACTGTTCACAATTTAAAATAAAAATATTAGATTGAAAGATATTAATTTTGTAACATAAGTTGTTATTATTATTATCAAGATTTACATTAATCATTTTATTCAAAATGTGAATTAAAAATTACAATATAGAAAATAAAAATTAAATAATTAATTTAATAAATAAAATTTAAAAAAAAAATTCATCTTTTACAGACTTTTTCAATAAAAAATAAGCCTGATAAATAAAGAATATTGAAGAGATATTGTATAGAGTCTAAGAAATGAATTTTTAACATTGCAAAAAATCAAAGCGTTGTAGTTTACGAGGTAGTAAATCTTTTATTTTTTTGTGTTAGATTTTTCATTGATTCAATGCCATGCCTCGAGAAAAATGTATATATATATATATATATATATATATATATATAAAATCTTTTAGGTCAAGTTAAACTGATCAAACACAAGAAAAGATGGATCGAGTATAATTGGATTAGTCGCAATGGTATGACTCAAAAAAATTTTATCGCACAAATTTCCCCAAGAGAAAAATTCACTTTTATTTTGCGTAGGTAGATAATGTATTAAAAAAAAAATACAACAACAACTCGCGCATTAAAGTCTCTTAAAATACGTCGACTATATCACTCTCGGTCTACTTTCAATTTTATTTTAATTTTATTGTTCGCAAAAAATTCCAAACTTTTTTTTTTGAAAAAAATTAAATTTAGAAATAATTTATTTCATTTTTTCCAAATTTCTATTTTATGAATAAGTTGATTCAATAATTTACTAACAATAAAAACACATTTTATTTCCAAGTCCTTTGAACTCTAGATTCGATGGACCGAATCTTTTGTAAAAGTTAAAATCTTTGTAACGCTTCATTCAAAAGCGTGAGAATTTTTTTTTTCTTCATTACCTTTATAGACGATTAATTTTATAAAGGTGAAAAAAAAGATTTATGAAAAAAATTCCAATATGTGAATATATATTAGAGATAATAGTAAATTTTATTCACTTTGGAAATTGGAAAAAAAAATTCTCATCAATTAAATAAATACTCAAATATTTTTGATTAAAATAACAAAAAATTAATGAATAAAAAAACAAATTTTTTGCAGGAATATTAAATAATCGATAGAGTCAATAAAACATTTAAAAATTCCATTGAAGAATTAAATAAAGTTTAAAAGGCTATAGATACCTTGTTTAAAAAGGGGGGAGGAGGGATTAGTGATTAATTTGATTTTCTTTGCAAGTGTTTCTTCGACTATTGCCCAGTACATATAATTGTCCTTCCCCAGTGCATGATTCCTTACGCGGTACCGGCCGCACTTGACCTATATCTTAATATTCTCGTAGCGTCCGGATGCGAAGTCTTGTGCGTGTGCATATAAGAAAATATTCTTCACGAACAAGAAGAGACAGTATTATGGTGTCCTTCTTCCTGTCGCATGACATCGTACATTGGCGGTAAAAGTGGAAGAATATGTTCATCTTTTCCGCAAAAATTTATTCGAGGTCCATACAGAAGACAAGATCATCCAAGTGTAACTGACCTTACTTCCGAAGTTGTTTTACCTGAAAAAAAAATTCAATTCAATAAAGATAATAATTTCACAGAAAGCTTTCCGCTATTCTATTAAAAAAAAAATATATATATAGTAAATTAATTATTATTCTTGTTGCAAATTCCATTATTATACAAAATACTTTAAAAATAAATAAATTAATAATAAATTAATAATTAATGTAAAAATTAATAATAAATTATAAATTAATAAGAACTAATAATAAATTAAATAATTAATTTTTTTTTGAAATTATAATATAATTAAGAATGGGAAAATTTAAAAAATTTTCATTGAATGCGGAAAATTTTGACAAAGATGTCAAGGTTATAAGACGTCGCATGTCCTTGAATATGCCAAAACCTTTTGACTGCTTATACCATAAATATGAAGAGCGATTACGAAATTTATGATTTCGAAGGGGACGAATGAAAAGGTGTCTGAACAAATCTTGCAAATCAAATTGATGATTCATTTCCTTTGCAAATAGCGTGGAATCTAGAAAATAAACTGACATTAAAAATGACGACTGGATCAAAAACCATCGATTAAATAAAAAAATTAAACGAAAGGTAAAAAATGGAAATTTTTTTTTTTCCAACTTAAAATTAAAATCTTATGTACTTGTTAAATTCATTTTTTTTTTTAATTCTAAAATCTAAATTCTTTTCCAATTCTAAATCATTTGAATAAATATTCTATTATTTTTTAAATAATTCATTTTGAATTATTTATCAAAAAAATTTTCAAAATTATTATAATCAAAAAAATTAATAAATTCACAACAAAATAGTAGATTTTAAGTATTTTAAATTTTAAGGTACCGAATTTTTATTTAACAATTTTTTATTAAAAAAAAAAAAACCCAGTTCAACCGAATATTAATTTAGCCAAATTCTAATTGAACAGAATTTAAAGTGATTTGAATTTGTAAATCCTTATTTTCCAATTCACCGAATTTTTATTCGAATTCGAATCACTTGAAATTCTGTTCAATTTTGTTAAGTAAAAATTCGTTTAAAAAAAAAAATTCTGTTTATGTGAAAATTCATGATCTTGATGCAAAAAATATTTTGCAAGAAAAATAAATTGTCGACAATTTTGTTTGGATTTTTTCAAGAAAATAAAAATTATTATAGAATTAAAAAGGAGAAAAAAAATGTAAGAAGTTGATCGAAAATTACCGGGTTTTGAAGAATGAACAACAAACAAGAGATTAAAGAAGAAAAAAAGAAGAAGAAGAAGAAGAAGAAGCGGAGGGACTTTAAATTAAATGAGTATTACTTTAGTTTATAAGGGTTATAAGGAGTCTCTCACAGAGGGGACATGGAACTGAATGGCGACCCTGGAGGAATGATCGAGTCGCACTCTTGACCGGCATTCAAGCAAGGTCACGACCTCAGGGGAGGTCTCCGACGACGAGCTTTACCTTCGAGGTAAAGCATCGCGCATGCGTACCACCTGCTCGCCCGGCGAAAGTATTTAAACAAGATCGCGGGCCTTTCAGAAGGCCACTATTCTTCGAACTGTCACGAATCGCGCAACTTCCTTTTTTTTATTATTATTATTATTATTATTATTATTATTTATCTTTCACAAAAAACCGGTGAACCAGGTACCAGAAAAGAGCGTCGATTTGGAGCTTCACGAATGCAATTTCGTTTCTCTTTCTATTCGAAGGACCCTTCCTTTGCCTCTCACTTTAATTATATGACCAGTGTTATTTACCAGTTAAACTGACAGTGTCACTAAAATACAAAAGTGTCGAACCTTCATTTAAAAAAAAATCCAAATGTTGCAAATTGAGGAAAAGACATTTTTACAGGAAAAATACAGAATTTTGTGATTAAATCACTTTTTTTAAAAAAAATTTTATAGAAACAATAGAATATATTGTGATATTTTTTCGCATTTATTTTAATTGTTTTCATTAATCTTAAATTTAAAATAAATAAATTCTGTGATAAATAGAAAATAGTGTACATACCCGAATGTTTTGATTTTTGAAAGAAGAATTTTTTTTTTTCAATCATGGAAGAATTGGAAGTGCAACAGGAATTAGAGGACAAATTGGGAAATTTGTCATTTTTACCACCGCCGATGAAAAAATCCGATACAAGGGACAGTATTTCGTCAGTTGATAGCGATGTGAGTCTTTCATTTGATCGTCGAGGCTCAAAGGGCGAAGATGCCGATTTATCCGATAGCGGCAGTTCCGATTGTGACAGAAAACTTGGAAACGAGATTAATCTGCAAAAAATACAAAATAAAATCAGTGATCACGATTCTGGCGCTGATTCATTTGATGATATTGTACCGAGGGAAACAGAAACTCAGGTAACAGATAAGATTTTTTTTTTCCCCATATATAAATTATACTAAAAGAAATTAAATTTTATAAAAAAAATTCAAAAATTATATTTAGATAATTAAAATTATTCAGTCAGTAAATTTGAAAATGGAAAATTTGAATAGAAAGTTTGTAGGAAAGGAAAATTGATATTCTTGCGATTTGATTCTGGCAATCATAATAAATGAACTAGAATTATGAAACGTTGCATAATTATCCCAACGGAAATTGTTCCTACTTAACCACTTATGCAAGAACAATGTATATTAAAAACGTCAGAATATAAACGTTTTTTTCCATTTGTCAGTAAAATTTTCCCCCTGTTGAAATTAGTAGAAAGTTCTAAAAAAATTCAATCATATTTTGAAAAATATTTTCAATTATTTATATAGATATTAATTTTTTTTTCTCTCAGTTTGTTATTATAAATTATTTTTTTTTCTGACTTTATTGAGGACCAAATAAATAGAAAAACTATTTTTTCAAAATAAACAAGTTTTATGCGATAAACAACCAATTACACACGGCTTTAAATGATTTAAGTCTATTAAAATGAGGTCATTTAAAAAAATATCCTGCAAAAAAATTGAATTTTCTTTACCGATACGAAATCTATTTACGGCCGCATTTGTAATTTTATCTCTTGAAATCATCACGATGACGAATAGTAATAAAATTGCTACATTTAATGTATGTCATTGATACGAGTGTTCCATTCACAATATATATACAGTTGCAAATGAATTACGAGCTTATGGAGGTGTAAAATACTTTAATTGTTCATTTAACAATTCTACCATTTAAAGCATCGTTGTAATAAAGATGTTAGAACATTGCATAAATTACTTATTCTTAATGAAAGTCTTGTAAACCATGTTCTAGTTAAATTACTATATAATAAAATAGAACATTTTTTTTTAAAAAACATTAAATCATTATTTTAATACTATTTTTTTTAAATTAATTTTTTTTTCCAAATACCTAGATTGCAAAAGAAAAGGCAGATGAAGATTTTGTCCCACCAAATGATGAATTGGCTGATAAAATTTGTGCTCAGGTGGAATTTTATTTTTCAAATGAAAATATTGTTAAGGATGCATTTTTATTGAAACACGTGAAACGTAATAAGGAAGGTTACGTGTCTCTAAAATTGATCTCTAGTTTCAAGAGGGTCAAGCACCTTAGTCGAGATTGGAGAGTGGTGGGCGCTGCTCTTGCGAGGTCAAAAAAGCTCGAGGTAAACGAGCTCGGTACCAAGCTACGAAGAATTGATCCTCTACCGCCTTTCGATCAGACAACTCCTTCCAGAACTGTTCTCGCGGCAAGGTTACCCATTGAAAAATTGTCTGTCGAAACTGTTGCGGAACTCTTCAAAACTTGTGGCGAGATCGCTTTGATACGTGTTCTTCGACCCGGTCATCCTGCGCCTGCAGAGGTAAATTTTTTTCCATTAGAAAAATATAAACAATTTTTACAATTAGATAATTATCTATTATTTCTTTATAATTAATTATAATTTTTAATTTTTAATTTTTAATTTTTAATTTTTAATTTTTAATTTTTAATTTTTAATTTATAATTTATAATTTTTAATTTATAATTTATGATTTATAAATTTATAAATTTATAATTTATAAATTAAAATTTATTAAAATGTAAAAAATTTATATATTAAATTTTAATTTTAATTTTGATTAGGTGAGGCAGGCAATTGCAAAGAGACCAGATTTAGCATCGAGTGAAGAATGTGCAATGATTGAATTTATTGATTCGGCCTCAGCGAGAATGGCTTTGCAAATGCCTTTAGGTGAAGCGAAGATTTATGCTCTTCAACAGCCAGTTGATAAGAAGAGGAAGCAACAATCGTCTAAAAAGAATCCTGTAACGAGGGTTTCTCGCGAGGAAAATTATAATTCCTCAAGTTGCGCGAGCGGTTCTGAGAATGATGAAGGGAAATCGAGGCATCGTAGACAAATTTATAATCATCCAATTTATCATGTTTTCACCGGTCATCCCTATCAGCGTAAGAAAATAATTTACAATTATTTTTCAAATCAAAGAATTTTATTCTCTTTTTTTTCCATTTTCCTGATTCTTAATTGCATTAATTTTTTCAAAAATTTATTATTAAAATATTGAATATTATTATATTATTAAATTTATTATTAATTGTTAATTAAAAAAATTTAATTATTTATTAAATTAATTATAATTCTTTCAATTGCATTAATTTTTTCAAAATTTTTTTATTAAAATATTATTATATTATTAAATTTATTATTAATTGTTAATTTAAAAAAATTTAATTATTTATTAAATTAATTATTTTACCTTGCACAAAAATTTCAGCTGGTCCACCGTCACCGGAAGCTTGGATGCCACGAAGACTTTCATCGTGCTCAATGTCCGGTGGTCCAGATAATGGATTACTTTTACGACGTCTATCCTCGTGTTCAGGATCGGGTTCGGAATCAGGTAATTTTGGAAGAAGATTTTCATCGTGTTCATCAAGTTCGGAGACTGGTTATTTTCATGCGGTTTATCCACCTGGATATTATCAGCCAACGAGACGATTTTCATGTTGTTCCGGCTCGGCTGGTGGTGGTGGTTCATCGGGATCAGATTGTAGCGGTGGTTGTTTTAGTCCAACGAGACGTGGTTCTGGTGATTGTGGACCATTTCTTCGACGATTATCGGCATGTAGTCGTGATTCTGGATACGAAATGGGAACAAGAAGATTGTCATCTTGTTCATCGAGTTCGGAAACTGGATATTTCCGACCGAGAAGCAATAGTGGAATTGTTGTCACTCATCTTCCGGAAAATGTCACAAGATTACCGTCTGGACCTGATGGAACTCGAGGATTTGGTAGACCATCGAGAATGGCTACCAGTTAGTTAATTTTCATTTTTAGAATATATATATTTTAATTTAAAATTTGTCTTTATATTATAATAAGCATTAATAGTGAATAAAAACGAAATACTTTTTTTTTTTACTATTATAATTATAAATCTTGTATATATGTATATTTATAATTGTAAAATATTGTTGAATTTTATTTTAAGGATAATTAAGTTAAAATTGTACGATGTACATAATTTTAAAAGAGCTTTTTTAAAGCTTACTTTGTGATCAAATGCTCTCTGATGTCATATATTGTTAAATGCGATTTGAGATGAAAAATTTTGGATATTATGTTATCATATGTATATTAATAGTGAAATAAAAGCATTATTTTCATTATTTAATGAATTTAATGTTTAATCAAAGCTTATGTATTATTATATTAAAAAAAACAAAACGAAATGATCATACTTAACCTCAAATATTTTTAATGAATCTCCAAGGTAGCCATTTGTCAAACTTCCCTTCCCGACACATATTTGCCTTTTTAATATCAATTATTGACAATAAATTGAGAAGTAATATCCGTAACAGTCCACAAATACTTTTTATTTATTTTATCTTGAACACAAAGTTTCAAGAACCATAAGAAAATTTAAAAAATCTCGTTTCATTCGATAATAAACTGCTAACAACTTCATACCCATATTGTTAATAGCGGTAATATTTAAATTTTAAATATAAAAAAAGATTTCTCTCTCTAAAAAATGTTAATACAATGTGTAATTTGTAAATAATAATAACAACAACAAAATAATTAATTAATTTAACATTTAATTATAATTTCCGGTTCTTTCTAAGAGCGAAAGATAGAAAAATATTTGTATTCTATTTTCTGGATTGAAGTCACGTGATATATTAATATTAAAGCCTCTAGCGGAAAGTTTTGGAACTAAAAAACAACAATAACGACACCTATCGTATTGGATGTAAACGAAGATATTTCTAGATTGTTTCTTCGATGAAATTACTTATATGAAGTGACTAATCCAAAATATCATGTCAAGTTCATCTCATTATCTGTGTTTTGCGGATGTTCGTTAAATATTTCAGTGAAAGAATTATAGGAGATGTGATTTGTTAATTAATGTAATGTTTTCTGAACGTAATCACGAGGTAAGCGAAAAATCATATCATTCCCCTTGTTTAATCCAATGTCGTGAAAGATCGCATTTCGTGGCACTGTGTTGGAATCGAAAGTATATATTAAAAAAAAAAAGAAAAAAAAAAGTTGAAACCAGAAAAATTGCAGTGTTAAGTTAGTTAATAAAGAGAGATTAATTATAATCAAAATATTCACATTTGTTGTTGAGCGAGCTACGCAGACGTCATAAAAATCTCTCTTTTTTTTTTTTTTTAATCGTTTCTTCGCGTCGTGATCAACATTACTTTTTTCCTCGAAAGGACGAATCTCGAATTGATACGCAACGTGGACGATATGCGACGTACACCTGGAAATGAAAATATTTCAACCGTTAATTTATTATCACACATATTCTAGCCTCTTTTTTATTTTACAAATCTCTTATGGAAAATGATTTTCTTGTCTCTTTTTGATGATATTGATTACTCTCGACAAAATGCAGGCAACATACTTAGGACGGATTACAACATATTGTGCAGTACAGTAAATATTGCTTATTTTTCGCAAAAAAATTTTGAATGTCACTTAACTGTTACATCAAGTTTGTTGTTATTTTCATGCCGAAATATGATTAAGTGGTATAATTTTTTTTTTTTTTTTTACGCCAAATAGAAAAGTTATGTCGTGACCTCGATTTTTAGAAAAGAGTTTATTTTCCTGAAAATTAAGTACTAAAATGATTAATTAAAATAGAATCTTACTAATTAAATTGATTAAAAAAATTAAATTCTAAATTGAATTAAAAAAATATATTTTAAAATAGACAAAAATATTAAAAATATTGTATTTTTATTATTGTTTTTAAATGTTTATCCAGTGATAATAAACATAGTACTATTCAATTACAATTATTGTTTCGTCATTAAAAAAAAAAGAAAATAAACTTACTCATCGAGAATCTGCAGTTTTGTATTTATTTGGTATTGCGTCATTCTCTTAAATATAAGGTTTACGGAATCTAAGATTCATCCTGCATCTTTAAAAATAAAAAAAAAAAGAAATATGCTTTTATTCTTTTTACATTCTTCAATGTTTTTTTTTTAATTTTTAAATATTGTTTTACGTTAAAAAAATATTCGGAACAAATAGAAATAGAATTTTTGAAAAATTGTAGAAAAAAACAGCTTTCATGACTTACTTTCTCTTATTTCATTGATAATTTTGACTCGGAAGATTTTTTTTTTTAGGTCTGTGTAAATATTACAAATTAATGATTTAAAAAACGTTAATTTTATCTTTATGGAAAGTAATAAAAATACAATTACGTTAATTATAATTTTAAAGGATATATATAAAAAAAAAAATTTTGATTTGTATGGGACTTAATTAATTGCAGTGAATAGAATTCAAGTACAATAACAACATAAATAGGGGATAATATTAATAAATATTGTAAATGTTACGTAAAAAGTAATTAAATATTCTTTACCAGGGAAAGCAAAACGTTGAACTGTTCATCAGAATTGTGATTAACTTGGCAATATTTATTCGTTTATTGCATAGTTGTAACAGACTTGTTGATTACTAGATATTTTAACCACATAAATACCAGTAGTGTTTTGTAAGCGAAAGCATTTCCTTGTTTGATTAAAACAATATTATGCAAATCATGAAATTTTGATATTTAAATTCACTAATGAGTCTCAAGGATTTTTTTTTCCTGATTCATAATGAAATTTGTATTTTTGTCAATATAATAATTAAATGAGAAAATTAATTTAATTTATTTATATTTTGGAAAGAATTTTTTTTGTCTCCAAATTCAAAAATTATATTTTTTTAGTCAAAAAATTTAATTTTGAATTCTTAAATTTCATGTGGATTAAAATTATGTGAAAATTATATGAAAATATAAAATTAAAATAATAACGTTGAAAGGTGTGGCATAAATCTTTTATAGAAAAAAAAAAGTAAAATGTCTTTTGGAATTATACACCTGACTTGTATTTTTTTATAGAATGCCAATACAGGCACCTCAGTGGACTGAATTTCTTTCTTGTCCCGTTTGCTGCCATGATTTCGATGTGGCTATACGTGGACCCATATCTTTAGGATGTGGCCACACAATATGCCGCACGTGCCTTGCAAATTTACATCGTAAACAATGTCCATTTGATCAGGTATGTAATGATGCTTTCACTGCAAAAAAAAACAAAAACGCAAGTGGCATTCACTAATTTAAAAAAAAAGGAACTGACCAACTGAAAAAATTCATCATTCAAGAGGATTTTTCAATTAAATCCCTTACAAATGAATATCATCGGTCTTTGATTACTACCAATCAAATCACTATTGGTTAATTTAAACGAAAAAAAAATTTCTCTCAAAGTCCAGTGAATTTTTAATAAAAAAAAAAATTTTTTTAGGACTTTTTGCGAAGATTACAATGTTTTATTCCGATAGTAACTTTGTCTTCGTAGTACTTGAGTGCGATTTATATTATTCTGTAAGGTTCAAAAAATTTTTGAAAAATTCAATACTGCATTATTTATTTATACATTTTAATATCAAAAATTATTTTCAATCGGTTTCATTCTAGGTTCCAGCGAATCGACATGAAATGACTTCTTTTGCTTGAATAATTTAATTTTTCTATTTTCTAGTTTCAATTAATTTTTTTGTTTCAATGAATTCATTTCTTCTTTTTTTTCAGAGTTCTATAAATACGGAAATAGAAAGTTTACCAGTGAATGAAGCCTTACTTCAATTAGTGGGAAATCAAATTCCAAACAATGTTGCGGTGAATTATCAAAAACTTTTACCACCCGACGAACTCAATCATTATTTGGTGGCTAAACGTTGCATTGAGGAGCTTGCACTTTATCTAAAACCATGTCAAGCAACTCCAAATTCCACTTTAGGTAAATGTAATTAATTTAGAAAAAAAAATTTTAAATGGAAGTTAAATTTCTTTTTTTTTGTAATTCAGGAGTGGGACTTGTATCACGTCCGATGCAAAGAAAATTGGTAACATTGGTGGGATGTCAATTGGTGGAACCAGAAGGACGTGCACGAGCCGTAAGAGCTGCAAGAAGTTTGGGCGAACGATCAGTAACCGAACTTATTTTACAGCATCAAAATCCACAACAACTAAGTGCGAATCTTTGGGCCGCTGTCCGCGCCCGAGGATGCCAATTTCTTGGACCCGGTAATTTTTTTCCCCAATAATAATAATAATAATAGATAATCTTTTATAATTATTTCTATTTTTTTTTTTTCATAGAAAATTTTAAAGAAATTTAAATTATTTGATCAAAATTTTATTGAAAAATGCAATATTATTTCAGCAATGCAAGAAGAGGTTTTGAAACTCGTGCTCCTAGCTTTGGAAGATGGATCAGCTCTTTCTCGAAAAGTCCTTGTTATGTTCGTCGTTCAACGTTTGGAACCACATTTCACACAAGCTTCAAAAACAAGTATTGGACATGTCGTACAACTATTGTATCGAGCAAGCTGCTTTAAGGTAAAAAAAAAAAAAAAAAAATAGAAAAATAATTTATAATTTTTATAGAATTTTGATAATTTTTTTTAGAATTAACATTTTGGAAAAAGTAAAATATAATAATCCAAAACTGATTGGAAATAGAAATAAATTTTTTTTTTTTTGTAATTAGGTATCGAAACGAGAGGGAGATTCTTCTTTGATGCAACTAAAAGAAGAATTTCGCACTTATGAAGCTCTGAGACGAGAGCATGACGCTCAAATAGTTCAAATAGCAACAGAAGCCGGATTACGAATCGCTCCCGATCAGTGGTCAGCTTTATTGTACGGCGATACTGGTCACAAATCTCATATGCAGAGTATCATTGATAAACTTCAAACTCCACAATCATTTGCCCAAAGTGTTCAAGAATTAATAATGGCACTTCAACGTACACCCGATCCAGGACAACTCAGTAGTTTGCGACCGCAACTCGAACTTTTAGCAGCAATTGATCCCAGTCCAGGTTAAAATGATTTTTTTAATATTTTTGAAATTGTTGAGCTTTTAATTATTTTAATGTTAAATTGTTTAATTTGATTTTTCTATTGAATTGAATTTGTAAATGTTATTTTTTATTTTAGAAAGTGAACCACCTTCTTGGATAGAATGTCGAGAGGCATTGGAAGCAGTAAGAACTGTCGTATCTGCCTTAGTAGAATTTATACAACAGCATGGCAATAGAAAATCTCAAGATGGCGCTCACAATACGGGACAACCAAAATATAAAGTCAGCATGTGTCGTGATCTTGCTATTAAAGGATCTTGTCCACGTGCTACTAATTGTACATTTGCTCACAGTGGTCAAGAGCTCGATAAGTAAGTACAAAAACAAAATTTATTTATTTAAATCCAATATTTCAAAGAAAAAACTAATTAAATTTCTCCTTTATTTGCAGATATCGATCAAAAAATCGAAAAATGAGTATAAGATCGAATTTACCTTTAACTGGAGTTTCAGAATCTAAGGCTGAGAAATCCGTAATTGCTCCAATTAATAAAGGCTTTAAGTGCGACGATACAAATTATCCTCCGAAAAATCTTGATTACATACACCGAGAAGGTAATATAATTTACAATTTACTATCAAATTTAAATATTTATTAATTTAATATGACTATTAAATTTATTTAAATTTAAATTATAATAATTATTTTTGTATTTTAGGTTTCACTCCGATTGTCCAACATCCAACTGTTACTAATGAAAATAATTTTATTGGATCGTTGACAAACTATATGCTGCCTCCACCGCAAGGATTTTCCTCGAAAAATGATGTACAACATTCACATTATATTGTACCAGGAGTGCCATTGGATTATTCGGCTACTAATTTACAAATATGGGAGCCAATGCAAATATCAAATAATGTGCAGAACAGTCAACAAAGCAACAACAAAAAAGTAATTAAATATTCATTATTTTAAATTAAAATTTTTATTTTCACACTACTTTTTATCATTTTTTTTTTTTTTTTTTTTTAATAATTACAGCAAAGAACAATGGCGAAAACTTTAGCAATGTTGCTACAAAGGAAAATGGAGATAATTAATCAACTTGAAAATATTGTTGGAAAACAATCGACACCAACTTTGAAAACGGTAATTTAATTTTAAATTATTATAATTTTCAAAAGTAGTTACAATTTTTAATGAAATTTTATTTAGAATTTTATTTGAAATTTACAAATTTACATTTTCATTAATTAAATTAAATGTTTGGAATTAAATTTTGTAAATTTTTAACAATTTTAGAATTATGATATGCAGGGAGATATTTTGACGCCGAATTTTTCAATTTGGACAAACGCTTCTGGAAATCAAATAACACCGTCGACAAATATTAATTTCAATAATTCGTATCGCCGGCCAGACTCTGTGCTTTTCGATGATGAATTTGTACCTTTTGATGCCTCAACTGCCAGCAATTATGGTCCAATTTCAAGACTTTCAAAAACAGTGCTTAGGTAATTTATTTCCTCCGTAGAGGGAAATAGTTTTTTTTTTTTGAATTCTATTTTAATTTTTTAAATTTATTTTTAGACCAGCTAATGGTATACAACAGACTGGATATTATGGAGAAGGAATTACATCTCCTTTACCGACAATACGACCAGTGCCTGCAACAAGTCCAATAGCTCCTTGGTATTATGGTCATCAACGTGAGTAATAATTAATAATATTTTTTTTGTAATTTTTCTTAATTTTTCAGTAAAAAAAAAATGAAAATTTTTATTCAAAAAAAATTTTTTTTAAAAAAGAATTTTCAATATATTTTTTATTTTCAAATTTTTGACGGTCGATTATTATTTATAGCTTTCACCACAATTAATACCAATGGAGATATACCACCAGTCGCAAATTCTGTTTTTAGTGAAGGTTTTATAACATTAAGTCGAAATGTTCCAGAACAACCTTCTCATGTACAATTTTCAAGACAGGATTGCATGTCAAAGGAGTAAGCATTATTTAATAATAATAATTTATAAATTATTATTATAATAAATTTTTTTTGTAAATTTGTAATATTTGATTTACTTTCTAACGTTTTATAAAATTTATAGTTTGATCTTGGAATCACAGAAAGTGAAACAACAATTGAAACATTTGGAGAAAAAAATAAACGACTTAAAGGTATTTTCAATTGTTATTCTGAATTCTACTTAAATAAAATTAAATATTATATATATATTTTTTTTTGTCTAAATTAATTTAATTATAGCTGGCAACGCAAGGAGCTGCGTTTAACGAAGGCGAAAGGCTAACCCAAGAACTTCAAATGATTGAAGCAGGTATCAGGGAAAAGGAAAAAGATGTTCGCAATTGGAATCCTTACAGTAATACATCTTGGATTCAGCCGCCAAATAATTTGACTAATTCTTTAAATAGAGATTGCAAATCAGAAGAAGTGGGTGTTATTTTACAATATTAAAAAAAAGAAAATGAAAACATTATAAATGAATTTTTTTTTTTTCAGGAAGACACATACGAAGCTGCAATCGCTAACGATATGCGAGAACTAGAATTACGATGGGACTTTGAGTTTCAAGAACAAGAAAAACGTTGGTCTAATGAAGAGGACGGCATCAAAAAATGATGCGACAAACTTTAGACATTTTTTTTTAACGAGACTGGAAATACATTGGCATTAAATGGATTAATGATCGGGACATTTGGAACGTTTCATTAAAACGGCTACTATTTTGTAAAAGGTAAGTTTTTCATCTTCTACTTGGATCTTGGCGTTTCCTTCCACCCTCTCAACGTTAGATTCGCAAGGAAATTTCATTAAATATAATGGACTTGGAATCATTGTTCTAATCGTCAATATTGTTTGTAAAAAACAAAAAAAAAAACCCAGTTAAAAACTTTTTTCCAAGTGCGGCATATTTAATGCGTATTTTACGAATTCATGTATCAATATTGATCATGGTAAAAAATATGCGAGCGAAACGAACAAAGTGAACCCCCGAACAACTTGTTTTCTATATTAAGCTTTAGACAATTATTATTTATATTTTCAATAAATATTTATTTATTGAATAATATTTTTTTATTTGGATAAAGAAAACGGTTTTCTTTTGCTGTTAATCTCGGTTAAGTATAAAAAAAAAAAAAAAAAAAATTACAGTGTGGCGCGCTTTGTTTGCTTCACTACGCATAAATTTAATCGTTTCACTTTTAGTAGTGATAAAAAAAAAAATTACATGAAACTGCCGTGACAACTTGAGAATTTTAAAATGTCACTCTAAAATTTTTTTTTCCCTTTTTTTTTGCCACAGAGCTGACACAATTCCCTTTAGTCATGGTACAGTTTTGGTAAAATATTAATATCTGTGTATACTGTAGTCAGAAATTGTTTTTTAAGATAAACAAGTGATTGTGAATGCCGATTTGTTAAAATTTAACAGAAATTAACGTCGATGTTTTATAAACATGACAAAGTATAGCATATTTATTTATATATTTGCGCAGTGAGGCAAAAGAAAAAAAAACCTGTAATATTGTTTTACATGTAAAAAAAAAAAAAAAAAAAAAGAAAATTCGGGACGAATGTTATTTAACCTGAATAAAATAGGTTAACACAAGGAAACCATATATAGAGGCATATTAGACGTTGAAGTGTAGTGTAAAATCGATATGTTTTACAAAAAGAAAAATTGAAAAAAAAAAATTTATGTCGCTAGCGTTGATATTATTCAGTAACATTCTATCTTTAGATTTCAATGCGCATCCTCTCGAAATATACAACGGATTTACCAAGTGTATTCAAACTTTCTATGAGAATTTCGCAATTTTGGCTGAATTTTCACTCGCGACAGTCTCTAAAAAATTTTTTTTTTTTTGAAATATAAATATTTCAATTGAAAATGGAAAATTTTAATAATTAACGAATAAATTTTTTTTTTCAAAAAATTAATTAGTCAGTAATTGAAAAATTTAGTAACTTTAATATTTTGACACAGACTGACGTGAGTGAAAATGCCTTTAGGAAAATATTAATTACCCAGTGTACGCGCTAAACATGAAACACTTAAAAATAATTTCTTTCTGTTATTATTTTTTTATTTTATATATATATTTTGAAAAATTCATAACACAAGTGTTTCTGTATCAAATTTTTGTAACAAAAATTGATTTACATTAATTTACGTGATAAAACCTAATTTTAATAGGTTTCAAAAAAAAAAAATAATAATAATTATTTTGAACTTTAAATGATATTGCTTTTAGTTGTGTACGCTTTTTTAATTTTTTAAGTTTTCGATTCTTTTTTTAATTTGAAAATTTCTTTGGAAATGAAATTATTTAAAGATTGCTTTTCTTTTTCTAAAAAAAAAGACGTACTCATTTAGTTTACAATCTTTAATTAGCTAAAGAAGACTGAAATGAGTGATTGTTATACAAGTGCAAGACAAATCTATTTAAAAAAAAAAATAAATAAAAAAACAGAAAAAATTGTTCATTATAAATATTGTAACAAAGCATTTGAAAATATTTGCAAAAAAAACTCTAGTTTATATTTTAATTTCCGTACTTAATTGCAAATTGCAACAGAAAAAATATATATATTATTTTGTTACACATTTTCGTATAAAAATTTTAATTTTTAATTTTTAAAAGTAAAAATTTAGTTTAAAAATGGTTCTAAAAATGTTATTTTAAACAAAATTTGGAATATTCATTAAGAATACAAAAATATATCAACTAAATAATAGTTAAAATTTTTAATTCTGTCATTATGACAAAATATAATTATTTTTATAATTTGTTTTAAGTTAAAATTAATTTTAATTTTAAATTACAAAGTTTAATGTAATTATAATTTTTTATAATTTTACAAATTTACAAAATGAATTTTTTATTTGGTTATTTATACAATTTAATTAATTTATTTAAATTATTGGTTAAAATTACAATTTTTTTTCTAAATTTTACGTTTCTGAAAAATTCCGTAAAAAAAAATCTGACAAAGTTTTAATTTTCTTTGCTGTCTTATTTCGCTATTAAAACGAAGATGTTAATTAATTGAACAATTTTCTTTTGGTTTTTCTTGTTTTTTTTTTTTTTTTTGGTTATTTGTTTGCAATTGTAGTGTATGTTATATTGTAATTGTTTTCGAAAAATTGATTTGAAACAATGAATTTTTGTATAAATTTCGTGAGATCGTATTTTTCGATTTAACAGGATCGCTGCATTGTTGTAGCTAAAAAAAAAATATATAATACGCGCACTGCAATAGATTTTTGGGTTGCTACTATTTTTATGAAATAAATATATACATATATAAAGAATATATATGTATGCATATGCATATAGCAGAGATACTATATGATTCCAGTTTTATTGGAAGTATCGATATACGAAGACTTTTATAATAATGAAGGTCCACGAAAGTGACCTTCTTTCTGACTTTAAGATATAAGATTATTTTTGATACCTTTGTAAGGAACCCGAGATATGTTCAAGCATTTTATTTTGATTTTGACAATATTTATGTTTACAAAAACGGAGAGCAAAAAAATAATTTCTTTATTCCAAATTGGAAATTCAAAATTTTTTTTTTTTTTTTTTTTTTTTATGTTTATCAAAAAGAAAAAAATATTTTGCTAGAACATAGCTGAGTTCTTACGATAATAAAGCAGTGCAATGACATCGTTTAATCTATAAACGTTTCGTATTTTTGTTTTTCTTTTCAAAGTACATAAAACTGTCTTAGCTGATAGTAATCGATTGTACAATGAATATTTAAAATTGTTTTTCACGAGAATATCTGAATATTGTGCAACTAATTTTTTTCTCTTCAAAAGAGATTTTTCTTTTTTCTTGAATGAAAATGACAATTTTAGATAATCATAAAATTTTCTTTGCACTTGTATTTTATAGAAAAATTTTTGGTGGTGTGTGATTTTATGTACGATCGTTTTGTTTTTGTTTTTTTTTTTTTAATACTCGTTCTTTAAATTAAATGACAAATTTATTTGATTGCAAATAAATGTTCAAAACGAACAATTATTAAATTCGAGAAATAAGAAAAAACAAAAATGTTAAGTGATCGTCTTTTATCGAAAAATTTTTTTTAATTTACTGCCTGATAAAAAGAAAAAAAAAATCATTTTATTAGTTAGTTTTTGGTGCTGAATTAAAGTTGTAAATTCAGTAATTTAGTTTTATTAGTCGTAAAATTTGTCACTTTTATTTCAAAAACAAAAAAAAAAAAAAGAAATACTTTCACGAATCTCGAAAAATTTCTTTTCGACTAATATAACTAAATATGTAATGACAATTAATTAAAAAAAAAAGTTGACTGTCAAAAGTCTCTAGAAGAAAATTTGAAGACACAATTTTTCAGTTGGCTCTTATATTGTTTTGTTATGTTCTTAGCGCGTATAAATGAAAAAAAAAGTTAATGGATGAATAAATATATTATATATATAAATATATATAAATAAATATTATATATAGTTAAAGGAGAAGGGCTGTGTAAAATGGGAAGTAATAAGCGCAACAATACTGTTTGTGCAAGCTTCAGATTAATTGCATGTTAAACATGTCATTATGTGTACAATGATACACTTGTATCTAATGTTAATAGTGTAAAACCACGTATTAAACATAAACAATTGAAGTTCTTTCTTTGAACATTTATTATACTGATACTGGTGTGTAATATATATCTTAAGGATGTATTTTAATCATCTTTTTAATGGAAAGTCTATTCCATAACGATTATCATTGAAAAAAATTATTATAAATATTTAGAATATAAATTTATCAAAATAAAAAGAAATAGGGAAATTTTATTCAAAAAAAAAAAAATTAAAAGATTTTGTTGAAAACTTATTTTTTAAAAATTATGCAAAGAAGTTCAATTGAAAAATTTAATACATGGCATTTAACAGTCTGATTATGTCAAAACAATCCGCCTCTTGTATTTTAAATACAAACGGAGTTTAAGCCAGCTTTAAAACAAAAAAAAAAAAAAAAAAATAGATAACAGATGTTAGAGAGTAAGCTCTTGCTTCTTGAAATTTTACATTATGCGGACTCTAAATTTGTACTGCGAAAATTTAAAAAAAAAAAAAAAAAACGTACTGGACAACGTAAATGAAAACAAAAAAAAATTGAAAGCCCTCTAAATTAAATATTGTATTTTTTTCATCTCGTGTTTAATGTTTCGAATTTTCGAAAAAAATGTATTGTATTTCTTTTTTGTTTACGTGGTCCTTGAAAATTTCATTTGAAATATTTTTTTTTATTAGATGTAAAATTTTTGTCTGATCTTTTATTTGAAAACGTTTCTTTTTTTTTTTTTTTTTTATTTTGAAAACGAAATTGAATTTTTATTTTTAAGTTGATCTTCGGACTTTCTGCTTATTTTATGTTTTCATTTCTAAATTTTTGCGTATTGCGCAACAAGTGTACTATAACTGAAAGTGTAATATATTTATATAACTAAAATCAATTGAATTGTGTTTTGTTATTTCAAAAATTCCTTTTCCTTTAAATTATTTAATTTCGTATAAATTAATTATTTTTATTTTTTATTTTAATATAGAAGCAATGGTCCAGGAGAGAGATTTGATCACGGAAATTCGAAATTGTAAGTTTTTTTTTTATATCAAAAAACAAATTAATAGAATACAAATTCTGTGTATTTTTATATTATTTACAAATATAAAACTTACAATATTTACAGTAAAAATATATTGTATACGAATAGTTATTGTAGATTAAATAACTAAAATACTTTCTAGTTTTCTAACATTTTCATAATTCCTTTTTTAATTGATTTTGATTTGTAAAATTTATTCATAGAATTAATAATTTCCGATTGAGGGTATTTAATTCGAATTATAGTTTTTGAATAGAGAAAAATGATTTAGGAGGAGATAAACTATAATTGTGGATTCCGAATACAAAATTTTAATTTTAATAAATTTTTAATTATTCGCAATTGATATTACAAATTTGCGAATATGTGAGATAACAAATATTGAATTTCTTTAATCAAAATTGAAAACAATATTCTAAATGAAAAATAATTTACGTATCTGGATCTTCAGTTTGTTTCTTTTTCTTCTTCTTTTTCTTTTCACCGGAACTTGTTCCTAAATATTCATCTGGAACTGCAGACTCTCCTTCTTGTTCCTCTTTAACTTTTTTCTTCTTTTTCTTTTTTTCACTGCCTTCTTCTTTTGGAGTTACTTCTTCCATTTCCATTGTTTCGGACTGATCTTTGTCCTTCTTCTTCTTTTTCTTCTTTTTTGGTTCTGAAAGAGAATTTGTTTTATTAAATTAATTTTATTTTTTTTTCTTTTATTTAATTGTTATAAATGTACCTGAACTTTCGCCAGCTTCCTCGATCTCTTCCTCGGGTTCCTGTTTGATTTTCTTCTTTTTCTTTTTCGGAGTAACCAAATCCGACTCTTCTACCTCTTCGGATTTATCATCGCCTTCTTGTTCGTCGTTCTTCTTTTTTTTCTTCTTCGGCACCTCTTCGGTTTTAATTTCCTCAATTAATGGTTTTTTCTCATCAGCCTCGGAATATCGTCTCTTTGTTGTTGCCAAAGTTGAATCGGCAGCAGTTGGATATTGTACAATTTCACTTTTAGTTTGATATTTTTCAAATTTCGCTTTAACTTTACCAGTGCCACTCAATTTTCTCAAATTTCCCTCTTCTAAAATTCTTAATTTTGCCTCAAGCTTTGCCTTATGCTCGGCGCCAAAATCAAAACTCACATCCTCACCAAGAGCATCGACTCTAATTGCCAACGATGCTTTTGCAGCGAGCATTCTTGACATTTTTCCTTTATTTTTCGTTGAACTCGAACCAACTAATTGTGCATGATAAATCAAACCATATTTTGGTGTATCCTTTTTTGTTTTTAAAGCTCTAAAAAGTGCTTTCTCAGCGCCAAGAATTTGAACAGTCGACGCCGGATGTTTTGCAAGATTAATTAATGAACCAGCGTGAGAAATTAATCGCGCTCCAACTAAATCGCCAACAAGAACAGTTAAATTTGGTGCCATTGCCATCATTCTTGCCTTTAAATAATCATACAATTGTGTTCTGTATTGTGAAATTTCTATAACTTGATCACACAAATGTTGAATATTTATAATATCATCGTTAGATATTTCTGTACCCATTGAAATTTCAGCAGCTTCTTTTACTTTTTCTTCAATTTCTTCTGGCAAAATATCTGATAAATCACTTGATGCTGCATTTTCTCTTGTACCAATAATATTAACAGTTTTAACAAATGCAACATTATCGGTAATAAGTTTTCCCAATTCGGGAAAATGCCATCCATACCATTCGCGGCAACGCATAACATAATTATTTAATTCTTTATCAAGATCATCAAGAAGACAAACGGCTTGTATTATCATTGTATCAATTTTATCAGGTGAAAATTTTAATTTATATCTTGATAAACTATGAGCTAAACCAAGTGCCATTGCTGTCATTTCTTTTTTTGGAAAACCAGCAAGAAGACTGTCCATTTGACTTCGTATGCAACGCATTAATTCCTGAACATTTGTATTGCTCACACATTGTAAACTTAATTTATCTTTTATTGCTGTACCTAATTTTGCATCAGCAACAGCAAGTTGTTCTTGTACTTCGGAACAATATTTTTTCAATATTTTCTTTAAAGATTTTCCCAATTTTCCCTCAACAGCCGCAGTTGTTGCTGCCAATGCTTCAGTTGTATCGGCAAATTTTTCGAAATGTTTTAATTTCACTCTGCAAAAATTTGAAATAAATTAAAACTAATTAGAACTAAAACTACTAACTAGTTTTTCTATCGCTTATAGAAAAAAAAGAGTAAATTTTTCTAACTACTAAAAATAGCCAACAATTGACAAATTAATAACAATAAAAGAAAACTTACACTCTGCCTGCAGCTTCAGGTGTTTCGAAATCATGATAAAGATTATCTGTCTTTACTAGTTTATTTTCATCCAGTAACTGAAAAATATATATTAAAAGAAATATATAGTATTTATATTTTTCTATTAAACCACGTGTCAATATTTGGAGGTTAAGTTTTGATTATTAAAAAGAAAATTATATCTCACCTTAAAAATTGCATACCCCGCAGGGGTTTCAAATAGTACTAACATTGTACTATTGTTTTTATTAAATTTGCAACAATTTTATTTGTTTTTATAACAATTAATTTTGTTATTAAACACCACGCCACGCAGAAGTAAAAAAAAGCGTAGCCGACACAGTGTTACCAAAATTGACATGCGCGCACTGTGAACAAGGCGGGAAATTCAAAAATTTGTCCAAAGAGTTGGGATATTCTCCGCTAGGTGGCGCCTTTGATAACTTAAATCTCAACTGGCATATATGCGATCAGTTTTCTTTCTGTGAAGGTGTAGTGCATAAGTAAAAATGGCGCCGTTTGAGTGAGATATGTTATGGTGTGGTGTGTCTTAAAAAGTGTGATTTCCCGGAAATGTGGCAAGATCTGGACGGTCTGGGTGGATCGGGAGTGAATTCTGGCGTTCACCAGGTCGACCAGTTCGGTACCACAGGTAAGAAATTAAATTCAAATTGTGAAAAAATCACTTTTTTTTTGTCAGTTTGTCAGGAGCGGCTTTCTCTCATGACGCATGCGTGTGATTGTATGCAAGCAAAAATGTTTCCTGTATATCGTAAACAAACCAAAAATCTCTTTCTTTTGTTACTTTCTCTTCTCTATGGATTTATTAGAAAAATTCATTCCTATTGGTAATTACTTATTCATCTCAATTAACCTAACTTTCGAGAGAAATTTCAATGAATCTCGAGATCCTTACACTGCAATGTAAACATCTTGCAGAGATTAAAAAAAAAAAATCTATTCATCAGGGAAAATTGTAATTAATTTAAAATCACGTGATCATTGTAATTAATCTGGAAAATTTAATTTTCTTGTCACGTAACGGTAAAACCGTTCAAGTGCTATGCTCGATATAACTTTTGGAAGACTTGAAATGTAAACTACAGAATGTGTCAAAACTACTTGTTTATAGATGCTTTGAGATGAAAGATTTTTTTCTTGTATTTTTAGGGTTTCATTTTTTTTTTCTTTTTGGGGAGTGTGAAGTGGCAACATGAAAATTAATTTATACAGAAGGGTTATAATATTGTTGTGGTGATTTATCGTCCACAAGCGACCCCGTTAACAAGACATTGTGTTGTGTGTGCGGAACAAGTTCTAATCGTTCCGCTCGAGGACGTAACCTTACCTCACCTCACCTCCGGCTTGTGTATGTGTGTAGTAAAAAAAGGAAGAGGGTTTGATGTGTCCGTTTGAATTACATAACTTATATCTTTACAACTCTTGAGGACGACAAGAAAAAAATGTTACGGTATTCCCATTGCCATGAATGAATAACAGTTCTTGTGCTCCGCTTCGTGTCATATTATAAATAAGCGAACAACAGTTTTATAATTATGAAAATTGCTCGTTAAATTCAAGGACTGCAATTTCAAATATTCTATTGTTCAACGAGACAATTCAATTTTAAAGAAGTTTTACAAAGAACAAAATTTTTTTTTTCTACTTTTTGAAAAAAGGAATTTGTAATATTTAAAAGTTTCTTTAATAAAGTTTTAATAATTAAATTTTCTTAAATGAGAATAATAGTGAATAATCCCTATTGTTCAATCTAATTAGTATCGTTATTCGTCACAGGTGTCCCTAATCGCAATATTATTTCAATGATCTATTTTAAGAACCTTCACTAAATTGACTCTAATAAGCCCTCTGTCGACTCACTGAGATGAATTTATCATCTCGAAATTCTTTTTCTATAATTCTTTACAAAATTCGTAAATCTTTCAAAATTAATGAATTTCTTAATAAAATTATTAATTAAATTTTGTAAAATGATGATTTAATTATTAATTTTCAAAAAAAAAAGTATATTTAATAATTTTTTTAAAACAATTTTTATTTTATTTCAGAATTAACGCCAGAACAACAGAAGATTTTGATAGATATTCGAAGGAAAAAAACAGAGCTTCTACTCGAAATACAGGTGAGAAAAAAAATAAAAGAAAATTTACAAAATTGAATACATACAATTTCTGCATAGAATTTAATTAATGAATAATTAATATTTTCTTTCACGGAAAGAAACATTATTTTAATTATAGATATAGACTTAATTTAATAGATAACATCTTTGCCCTAGATATTTTCATATAAATATTGGGACGCATTTCCGTATTTAAGACAAACGGTTTTATAATGAATTTTTTTTTAATTAGTAAATTTTTATATATTTAATATTTTAATATTAATTAATTAATAATTAATACTTAATTAATAATTAATTAATTAATATTAATATTTGTATATTTTTCTATAACTGATATCGAAAATGTTTTCTTTGTAGTAAAATTATTTAACAATAATTTGCATATAATAAACAATGAAACAAAAACAATTATAAACTATAACGAGGTTATCTGGTATTAACGAGTGATCTCATTCTTTAAAGATTCATGACTCACGTTGCATTAGTTTGAACAAGTGTATTTGCGACAACTTCTTTTGATAAGAATCAAAATTTGCTGTTACAGCGAAAAATCTTTTTTTTTTTTACAATAATTTATTTATTTTGCTTTTGCAAAGTTCAACAAAAAAAAATGAATTTCTTTTAATTGCGATTTTATTTGCAAGCTTTTAGATTGATTTCTTTTGATAAACGCTTTTAATTATATTGAATTAGCAAAAAAAGAATGTTTGTATTTATGAGATAGAAATCTAAAGAACTTTAATTGTAGGGGAAGTGTAATTATTTTTGCCAAGCAGGTGCCTTCAACCCTCGAAAAATTTTCAACGTTTTTTTTCTCTTGACAAATGTTTGACAAGCCTGGGAATTTATATTTAAATAAATCGTTTAAAGATTTTGTAAATATTTTCCCTTTATCTAAAAAAAAAAAAATTTATTTTCAATTTTTTTTTTTATTATATCTTGGGGCTTTTGCTATTTTGTTATTTATTCTTTACAACTTGTTCAGTAGTTTTTGTTTTTGAATGAAAATTATTATCGCATCGAAATGGAAAAGCCATTATATATATATGAATCACTATAAAGGGCAAATCGACTTTTTTCAAAGATTTCCATTATAGGAAAGTTGTCACAAGAAAATATAAACTCGTCTTTTACTTTTGATTGTTAGAAAAAATTTTTTTCATCTCTTCGTATATATTTTCGAAAAAAAAATATTATATTAATTTCTTAACTATTATTTTATTTATTTAGTTTAATGAAATTTTATTATTATTTTATTATTTCAGAATAATTATAAATAATTTTTAATTAAATTATAATAATTATTATTAAAAAAATTCTTTACTTTTTATATTTTTAAAAAGTTTAATTTTGTTTTGTTTAACTTCATTTTTGTGAAAATTTTTTTTTTCTTTGAAAAAAAAAGAAAGAAAATACTCGCTCAATAAATACACAGTCTAGTTTCTATTTTTGGTTTTAGCTTTGCAAAGGGAGGGAAAGAAAAGGCTGAATGTATTATAATAGAGTATGTTCAAAAAACAAAGAGCATTTGGCATTAGATGATGTTAAAAGTGTATGTGTACATATGAATCGAGCTCTAGGTCATTCAACTTCTTTTATAAAAAAAAAAAAAAAAAAAAAAAAAAAAAAAAAAAAAGAATGTTTCTTTTTTCCTCTTCTCTTTCTGAGACACGATATGTACTATTTATTCCTCTTTTCTCGTTAAATATTCCAAATAATCATGTTTTCAAAAATTTATGATCTCGATCCGATATTGGAGTCTTAATTAGACGTTTATTATTATTATATATAGAGGCCTTAATTAGTTTCTTTTGTGAACCATATCAAGACACAAGACGAGCCTGGGAAGTTAACAGGACACTACCATGTCGACAAGTTTGTCGATAAAGTTAGGCGTTAAAGTTTCCGGAAGTTTCGTTAGATGTCTATTACAGTTTTATTTTTTTTCCTCTTCCTCTAATGAAAATTACTCAAAATATTTTTTTCCTATTTATTTATTTAATAATCCAATTTTTTGTTTTATTTTTATTGAAAATTTTCTTTTTTTCTATTTTTTACCATTTGCAAAAAAAACTGTTTTATTTACAATATGTTTTTATTATTATTTATTTATTTAATTATTTAATTACAATGTACGGGCTTATTATTATTATTATTATTATTATTATTTTTATTATTATTCTTATCCTTATTATTATTACTATTATTATTATTATTATTATTATTATTATTATTATTATTGTTATTTCAATTTTTTTTATATTACTATATTATTTTTTTATTCTTCTATTATTATTGTTTATTATATATTTTTATATACAATTTATAGTTTATATACACACGCGCTTATTTAGTCTTTCGAAAAAAAGAAGTTGAGATAAGACTATTTCCGCATTTGCAAATATAAGATAATTGTTAGTCATAGCTCTTGACACAACATCCGACCTAAACGGAATAAAATATCAGTAAAAAAAAAAAATTTCTTTTATTTGATAATTTCTGTATGAATCAAAAGTTTTGTTATAATTTCATTTGAAATTTATAAATTCAATATTAGAGAATTTTTTTTTTTTTCTGAATATTTTAAAAGACAAATTTAATTTTAGAATTTTTGAAAAAAAAAAATTGCTAATTTTTTTTTTTCTGTTAAAACGTTTAATAATAATTCATCAACTGTGTTGATTTCCCTATAAAGACGAGAGACGAGTTTTTTCACACTATTAACAAAATCAAATATTAATTGATTTATTTATGGAAAAAATTTTTTTTTTTTTTTTTTTTTTTTATTTAAATATTTGTTCTTGTTTTTTGATTTAAATTATTGTGACATGTTCAAATGTCAAGTATATATCTAGATATATGTTCTACTTTCTTTCTTTATAAGTGTTGATTATGAAATTCATATATATATGAAAAAAATGTATTTTTAAAGAACTCAATAATATATTCAATAATCAAATATACATCCGTCAAAAAAAAAAAAAGACGTCACTCAAAATTAATTTCTCTTTTTAAAAATAAATAAAAAAAAGTAGATTAAATTTCATTTCTAATATCAATTTATGCATTTTTGTATATTTAATAATAATAATAAAATAATTGTTATGATAATTATAATATATAGTATAATAATATATAATAATAATAATAATATATAATAATAATTTTTGTAATAATAATAATAATTAAAATATATTTATAAATAAGAAAGTCCCGTCAGATATTTTTAGATACATTTGGATTTAGATTACTTTTGAAGAGAAAAGGAATGTTATCAGAGACGCATTAAAATTAAGACACCTTTTAAAAAAGCAAATGACATATTTTTGTAATCAATATACATACATATCTTTACCGTGTATATTATATTAGATTTCCAAATTTTTGTTTTGTTTTGAATTTTTTTTTTTTTATTTTTATATAAAGAAAGTAGATTTTAGACCTCGTTTTTTAAAATATTTTTTTCAAATGACGAAATGACCTTTTAATCTACTCTTAACTCCTCCACTCTAATGTCAAAATATATAATAATTCAATCTATTTTAGGGAGACTATGTGCTATTTTGTATTATATATAGTAAACAACAAATGTGTAACTTGTAATGCGATAGCTTTGCAATGACTCGCATATATAGACCCCTAAAATGTATAATTATATATTCTGTTTAGTGCACTAATGGATTTCATTACACCATATGGTGCGCGTAGGATTCTAGAATTAAATATTATTCCCCCCTCACAAGGGAATTTTCAATCACAATATATTTGAATGCTAATTGAGTAATCAGTTTTACTTGTTGATTAGTTTTTTTTTTTTTTTTTTTTTTCATTTGTCGCTTCTTCTTTTTTTTCGAGATTCAATCGTGATAGTAATTTTAATAGTTTGCAGGGCTTTGAATATTATTTTTTTTTTTTAATGCGAATTTTATCGACTTATTTTAATGAATTTTTCCAACTTTTTTTGGAAAATAAAATTCAAAATTTACTTTACAAAATAAAATTAAGAATTATTTTACAAAATAAAATTAAAAAATTATTTTATTGTTTATTATTTATTTTAATAGATGCGGTGACTTTTTCGAATTATTTTACAAAATAAAATAAAAAATTATTTTAAAAATATAAAATTAAAAATAATTTTGCAAAATAAAATTAAAAAATTACTTTATTTTTTAATTTTATTATTTATTTTAATAGAAGGTGACTTTTTCGAATTATTTTGCAAAATAAAATAAAAAAATTACTTTAAAAATATAAAATTAAAAATTATTTTGCAAAATAAAATTAAAAAATTATTCTACAAAATAAAACTAAAAAATTATTTTATTTATTAAATTAAAAACAAAAAACTAATATTTTTTTTTTTTTTTTTGGTAAAAATTAAAAAAAATTCTCTTATTTTGAAAATTTGAAACAAAAATATTTTTGCGAAATTAATTAATTAAAAATCTTTTTAGTAAAAAATATTGAATTATTTGTTCGAAAATTTATTTTTTCTATATTTATAAATATAATCATAATTGCATATAATGAAAATTTAATTTTTAGTTCTATTTGCCAGGATATTGTTAATTACTCTAATATTGAATATCTTATCGACGTAGACACACGCGAGTGATTTGGAAAAGGTGCGTGTCGCTTGCGATCATGAATGATCGTTTATTTTGCCTCCGGCAGGTGTACGTGACCTAACTTTTCCATAAAAAAGGTCGAAGACACCAAAAAAAATTCCAAATATTTAATTTTTTAATTTTATTTCTTTTTAAACTAAATTCGAATTTACAATAAATAATATACATTAAATTTTTACCTCTAAAATTTAATTCAAAATTTAATTTTATTAATAATTAAATTATTAATAAAAAAAAGTTATTAATTTATAAATTATTATTAACTATTAATAAAAAAGATTAATTAAAATTATTCATAAAAAAATATTCCTAATGCAAGAATTTTAATAATAAAATAAAAATTCAGAATTTTTATAAATATTAATT